TCAACACAGACTTTTCTGACCATCCCTTCATCTACACGCCTTCTTTCCCTCTTATAATTAATAGCTGCCCCTGCAGTCATTTTCAGAAGCCAAACGCAACAAAGATGCGTCAAAAGCTTTACGTCGCGGTGGCTAGACTCACCTTAAACTATACTGTCATTGCCCAGTAGGTCATCCTCACAGTCCGCACCGCCACCGTGACCCAGTGCTATTATACAGCCCCCGGCGGACTCCCAAAATGCCCTAAATGCGCTCCGACCCCGACTATACACCCGGCTTTCGTTACTGGGGGACCTACTGGCATGGAGATCGAGGCCTACAAGTTGACACCTGCGGCTTTAACGACTATACCCAAATCGTCAAGTACACCACTGAGTACGACGGATTCTGCTCCACTGGAATCACCAGGCAGAAATACAAACGTACTGAGGTTTATGAAGGCGTCCCTTTCTTGCCCACTGTTCTCTCAATAAAAGTGCCCTTTGGCTTTTCTGAGGAGTTTCGAACCTGCTATTACACCTGTGGCCCGACTACGATCACTGCAACTATCACCCAGCCTGCCACAGAGCCTTAGAGCACCCCCTTCAAGTGTCCAAGTGGTAGTGCCGGCCCTTGGCTAGGATCCAGTCCTGGCTATGACTCTGGTTCTGGTTCTGGCTCCATATGTGCCACGAGTGCTAGCCCTCCTCCAAATCCCGGCTCTTCTTCGGATGCTGGCTCATCCTCAAGATCGAACGCTTCCGCTAGCAAGGATATTTTTCCAAGCATATAGTCAAATTTTGAGATCCGGTAACGCTTATCAAGCAATGCTCTCGAAGGTTTGAGAATTGTAGTAACAGCTAGCTCCCGAGCTAAAGCGTCACGCGCCTTCAGCCACACCGTACTCATCCTGATTTTCGCTACAACTGCATCCATTCTTCAGAGCGAGGAGATTACGGCAATGGTATGTGTGCTATGAGTACACGTGTTGTCGCAGATGCAGTACGTGCGCAAGTGCAAGTGTGTTTGGTCGAAGGGAGAATCATGGTTTTATAAAGCATTCGTGAGACGACTCACTTCTATCCCACAGCCATAAGATATTCTGCAATGCGGACTCAAGGTTGGGATGGGTATTCAGGGCCTAGACATAATTGCACACCATATGTTAGGCTACAGTCGCCTTGAAACAGGAGAACAATACATTTAAAGTTGAATGCTTATTAGATCAGTTTGATTACATCCTCCGAGAGCCGATAGTATGCTCAGTAAAAGATACTTTAGATATTTACGTATGGCCTCATGGCCGACGGCTGTGCCACTGGGGCGACTAACCTCTATCCCAGGTACCTCAGATATGCTAGGGATAAGCGACTATTTTTCCATGGCCCGGGCAGTTGGACCGCGTCCCACGAGCAACTTTGCCGGGACGTGGACCGAGCACAATGCTTCGTATTCCAGCTGTGTCTTATCTGCTTATAGGTCGAAATTCCCATGAGGTTGAATGGCATTTTTATGCAGGTCGAATTTCCGCATTCGCTCGAAGGGGCATGGCCTCGTGCAGCAGAAGCATTTCGATTTGCCAATCTGCAAACGATTTGACCTGGCAGCAAACTCTCGTTAACCCCAACCCTATGTATTTTCTTGTTGCGGTACGGCCGTTAACGCACTTCTAACGCAGTCATCGATCAGGCTCTAAGTAAAAATGGGTCTCTGATCTTCCAATAGAAATCTTAAATGCAAAAGTTGCTCGATGGTACGGAGTACTGAAAGCTTGATTGATTATTCTGGAGCATTCGCCGGAATTGAACCACCTCACTGACAATCATCAGCCGATGATTCGGACATGAACGAGTCGTTAATAGCACAGCTGCCCCCTCTTCTGCTCCTGCATTTGAGCAAGCGATCCTGCAACGTTGCTTGCCCGTCTAATCAGCCTCACCGGGGGACACCGCCAACGTATCCAAGACATTGTTGGCACTAGTGTACAGCGAAATGCGGCATACAAGCCGACTGATTCGTTGGTCATCGAGTGTCTCAGGGCTGACAGAATGGACACAGGCGAATCGGCGGTTGCTCATGACCCACCCGTGGCGAAGTACAACGAGACATTCTTTACCCCATTAGGAGAAAACCCTGGCCAAGACCGCCCGCCAAGGGTGGCGTCCCATCCCGTGGTGGGCATTGCGATGGTAGCTAGGCATCATCCACGCCCAGAGGGTAGGATACTTAAGATCCTCAAGCCTTTATGGGTCCGAGCCTCTCACGATCACAATTTGTCCCGTAGACTTCATATTACTCTATTTGACATCGTTTCTACTCCATGTTCCGATAGGGCAAGAGATTGTCTGCAACCAACTACATTGGACGGATCCACGCATCGGCCCCAAATGTCGTCAACAACCTTAACCGTAACGGGCCCCGCATTGCCTCCTTCGTCACCGGAAGCTCCTGAACGTCACCGTTGTTGGGAATGCCTTCGGAGACGTCTAGTTTGTGACGCTACCAAACCGATCTGCAACAAGTGTCGAGTGGCAGGCATTGTTTGCCCTGGCTACGACGATAAGAAACCGCTCACTTGGCTGGCACCTGGCAGGGTTACCTGCCGCACCCGCCGCAAGCCTCGCAGCACAGAAAAAGAAAGCGGCCTTGGGAAGTCCGTTAAGGCAAAACAGAAGACACTAGCGAAGGGCATGGGAAGAATTCTAAGTGAGAAAGAAAAAGAGATGTTCAAGGGCGTTGAATGCCTCTTCCACTCAGATCTAAGGACGGACGTGTGTGACGTCTATGATGCCGTTCAATACTGTGAGTCAAGTTCTCCCGGGACCTATTAACGGGCTATTCTCCATCGGCCCACTTTCTGCAAGTGGCCGTCAGCGACCACAGGACTTTGAGCTGATTCTCTACTTGTTAGACAATCAGGTTTTCTACCCGTACACTAAAGCTGGGCACACGGGGAATGCGAACGTTTACATTGGTGAGATACCTTTGAAGGTTGTCAAATACTTGCCGACGGCCATTGCACATAACCTAGTGTCTATTGCGTATCAACATCGGATGCGTGTCCAGATGGACTGGAAATTCGACTGTCCTTCCGCGAAACATGCTCAAGCTCGGCTGCATCACCACCGGGGGATTTCTATCCGGGCCCTTAACGAAGACATCGCCAACGAGAAGACACAGAGTACCGATGCTGTACTTACAGGTGTCATTCTACTGCTTGAGTCGGAAGTAAGTTGCACAAAATTATATGTATTTGATGATGTTCTGACACTTGACAGATTGTATCATGCATATCGCCAAATTGGAAACACCATGCCTCTGGACTTCTCGCCATGCTTGCATGTCGCGGTGGTGCGACAGGATGGAACAAGTCCTCGAAACACTTGAGTCCCATGCTTCTAGCATTTCTGATGTGAGTTGAGGAGATTCGATCGAGAATTATGATGAAGCTAACGCGAACTCCTAGATCGATGATAGCTGCAAATACAACGAGCCCATCCTTCGATCAAGTGGTCATCTGTCCTCATGAAGAACTCATGGATTTGGTAGAAGAATTATACCCTCTAGGGTTGCACCCATACTTACCCTTTCCAATGCCGCTTTTTATGGAAATGATTCGGATCAACCATCTCCGATTGCAGACCTCAACTGGGCTGATGAGCAAAGAAACAGCAAGAATCACTGCATACGAGATCATCAACAGAATTGAGAGCTTCAACCCAGAGACCAGTGGTGGTTTCTACGCAAACAAGGAATTAAATGACATGGTTGAGTTCATGTATCAATCCGCTGTCGCCATCTTCTGTATCTCCTCCATGCAGAGCCTTGGAATCCTTCCCAGCACACACCACCTTGCAGTTGTAAGAACTGCACACAGCGACAGACTGTACTATTTATTGGAGAAGGCGGAAAAATATGAAGTATTGAAGAAGTCAATTCAGTGGCCATTAATCGTTGCGGGTGTTGAAGCGGGTGTAAGGGTAGACAAACGGCGACTTGTAGGAGAACTGTTTGTGGGCCAGGGTAAAGACATGGGCTCACCGCTCTCTGTACACGCTAAAGGGATAATGCGCAGATTCTGGGATAAAGACGACACAAATTGGGATACTTGCTTTGACCAGCCTTACGCGTTGGTATCTTAGGGTTTTAGGAGGCGGAAAGCCACAGCTGCGGAATACAGAACACCATAGTTCAAAGTCCAAACCAGACGTTCTTTTTCAGAGTCCCCCCCCCCCCCCCCCCCCCCCCGAATGTACCATAGAAGGCATTTCACAATGAATTATTTTTTCTAGTACCTTCTACGTGTCTTGTTCGTCTGAATACTATAGGGATGATGCCAGGCCCAAACACCCATCTGAAGCGGTATGTGCTTGTGGTAAAACATATCTATGGCGACACCCACTAGTACTTGCCACACGATGATATTCCCGATTTCATAACATTCCTCGCTTCACACTTTCTTAGTCATGAAGTTGATTGCTCCTCCGGGTCACTGGCTCGAAACCAAGCTGTGGTAGGAGCTTGTCCCATGAGGTGTTTGTAATATAGAAAGCAGCAAAGTCGGTCTTGCACTTTGTTCCAGGTTCCGGTAGAGCGTCTTCATCGAAATATCTTTGAAAAGCCTTAGCCACGCAGAGCGATGGGTGGGTTCCCCAACCGTGCTGGACCACCATAGTTAGCTTGCCTTCTGGACCAAGTGAACGGGCAACACTTACACCCAGGCCTTCAGATTGAAGTAAAAACACTACCCTCGAACGTTTCGCTAACGTTTTGAGCAGAACGAAGAGGAGTTGCGGATAACGGATGACAGCATAATTCATTTCATTAGAATGAAGGTTTTGACTAGCGCTATTCAATAGTGCAGAGACGCCGCCTGTTTGCATAGTAACTAACTGCTGGTCAAGCTATAATTAGATATGGTCGTCGTCACACAATAAAGATTCCTGGTTTAGTTGAAGCTCGGTATGACCAACTACGTTTGTTAGAACCAGCCTGCAGCCAAGTTGCCCATCGGCCGCCAACACATGCCCGTTGGCCGCGAAGAATGTGCAAGTTTCACACGGCGTTGATAACAAATTAAAACTTGGTGCGTCATGGACGGGAAAGATGCAACCAGCAGATAATAGGTCGAGAATCGCTATACAATAAGCAGGGCGCTGCGCGCATGAACATGATCAAGTTGATGCCACCGCTGGGAATTTATGGAGTCCTTCCGCCTGCCATCCACCTACGACTTCCGGGGCCATTGCGCGTATCCTACTGTGGAGGCAACTACACTCTAGACGTGGGAGGTGGAAGCCAACTGCGCGCTCGGCGACATGGTATGGTGTGATGGGGGGAGGCGGACGAAGAAGAGAAGCTCGTTTGCGCATGAGCCAACAGGTTATGAGTGACTTGACACACAGACAAGTATATGAGAATTTGTTGAAAAACCACTGCCTCTTAATAAAATTCTCCTTTCTCTATATCTACCACATCTTTCCAATCAGAAGAAGGATCATGTTTGCCGTCAAAAGGGCTTCTCAAGGTTGTCCGCCGCAAATACAGTCTTCACCCTGTGGAGTACAACCACTGGAGTCCAAATTTTTGTTAGTAATTCCCTTTTGTTATCAAGACTTTCCCCCTCCTTTTAGGTAAATCAACGTACGGTGAGCAGGTAACTAATTGGCGAGCAGCCACATGAGCGTCCTCGGCAGGGAGAGCAAAGGATGCGACTACAAAGGTAGCAAGAACGAATATAATGTTTTTGAACTGCATTTTGATGACAAAGCGTTGTGTTGTTCTGCAAATCTGGTTGGAGTATTGAAAAAGCAGAATTAACCCCGTCGAATGTGCTGTACTTTACTTGCCCTTAAGTAGGCAGCGTACCTAGCATCCACAATAGGGGTATACGCACTTCATGCTAGTGAAGTTTGCATGACTAGCCACAGTAATTTCTGGAACCAAACTCAAACTTTAATCTGAACCTGCAGGTAGTTGTATATTAATGCAGATGCTCCGTAGCCAGCGCAAGGGGAAGGCAGGATAGCCAGCACAGCACAGATAAGATAGGATATTCCCGGAATGAGAAAGAAGGCTTAGTCCCTATTTATTTCACTTCCAGCGATCTACAGCACCAACGTCATAAATGCCACAGGGTGGTTTTCCTATTGTATCCTCAGTACCGTAGTGTTAACAAGGTAGATTGTACCTTGGCCCAGTAAGAACTTTTGAACCGGTTGTACTGCCTTTAGAAAGCAGGTACGGAGTATAGACTGAGTTCTACGTTACTGTGTATACACTCGGTGCCAGCGAATCGGCGGGGCGGCGTGGGTTTCAACCAATAGGCGTCTTGCACAACAGTACTGTCGCTCCATCTACGCGTCACATCAACAACATCACCACGTTCACCATGTTGACATCGTTGCCCTATCCACACATTGGTAGTAGAACATAGCCTTATAGTGTTTCAGAAATTGCTTTGTTATGTCGCCTGTTTGATGGTCGGTAACGGCTTGGATTGTCCTCATTCCAAGGCTTTGCTCCAGAATATTGGCTTCGGCATCTCGTTCTCCACTCCATCAGTCTTGCTTACTGCCCGTTCCCAGTCGATCCCTCCTTCCCACTCCTATCTGTGGTGCCCCACCTGCCCTCCTCTCGGAGTTACCGATAATTTACGTGTTAACTTGTTAACGAGTCCGGCTCCAGTACGGGTTTCAAGACCATCGGATCTGGAACGGGTTGCAGAACAGGTTGCAGAAGATAAGTTTTTTTTTTTAAAAAAAAATATTTAAAAAGTACTCTTTAAGGTATAATAAGGAAGTAGCTTGCTCACTATATTAGCTTACTTACTATATAGGTATATTATTTATTAAAGTATTTATTAAAAGTAGAGATATCTTTATTTACTTCTATCTTTTATAACTACTTGTGAAGGGCCAGGCCCACTAATGTGGGCGTAGTTCGGCTGCCAGCGAATCTATGCCTTCCGTGACCCATTACATGGGGCTCAGTGGGTGGACCCAGTGGGCGGACATAATGGCGTGCACTACCCATTAAGCCATCCGGTTGGATAGTCAAAAGGTACGTAACTACTCCGTACAAGTCCCTGACTCGTTGTTTGGCAGCACTTATGAAGGCGCTTGCCATGGGCTTCCAGCCCATGCCAATTGACCGGGCATAGCCCGTAACACTACTATATAGCCTAGTATTTCAATAGACCCCCTAGGGCTATAAGCACTTAAGACATGAGCCTATTTTATACCAGAGGATATACTAACTAACACTCTTGTCTTAACCCCCTAAGTGATAGACTAGATCTAGTAGACAATAGAACTTTTATATATGTGCTTGATAGGTAGAATTCAAACGTTAGGCCTTAGATTCCAGCTGTCTAAGGTAGGCTGTTAGCCTACTAGTGTAGATTAGACTGGTAATTATTAAAGTATATATTAGAAGTAGAGGCACCCTATTTGATTATTTCTTTAAAAACTGCTACACAGCCTGGCACTTTCACAGTCTTACTCTTGTTCCTCCTGATGCTGCTCAAGCCCTTTAGTACAACATTACTTATGACGTAAAGCATTGGGGATCTGTACCGCCTTTAGCAAGGGCCCTCTGACACTGATAGTTTTCACAGGCTGCTAACATAATCAAGGCTTAAGCCCAGGGAGTTCATACAAGGTATCATTCTTTTTACTAATTGTCAGTGCATGTCGAAGGCTAGCAACAGGGATTCAATAACATGATTACTTTCAAGGGATATCTGGCCACTCATTGCTTTTTGTTGATTAAAACACTTCTATACATCCGCTCCGGTCTACAAGCTGACTGCCATGCTGCAAACCTTGCAGGTCTAAGCAACCAGTGCTTAGACTGCGGATTGCCTAACTAATTACTGAACTATGAGTCGCTTACATGACCGTACCACTCAATGTATTGTATATGGGCGGTGAAACAAACTTCTCAAGCACTCTGAAGAGCACTCGAAAAGTCTACTAGCAACATCGGTAGAGGACGCGAATGGGTAATATGCACCTTTCAGTCACTCCAAGAGTCTCGTTCTACCCAACCCATTGAACGATCCTTTACTAAAGCTCTTCGAACACTGGTTCTGGTTACCCTGTCAGTATATCATCCATCAATGGCAAGGCTTAGAATGTCAAACCTTCTGGGCTGTTGCTTTGGCTCTGAGCATCTTTCCATTCCTTCATCCAGGCAGTGACGAATTCAACTTCCTGAGCATGGACTTTCTTGATAGAGGCGGGCGGGAAGTCTGGAGTGACATCCTCGGGCTTCACACCGTTTTCGTCCCAGTGGTGAACTCCCAGCTCGATGAGGAGAAAGGGTTCGCTAGTCGTGGACTTCCGGTCCAGACCAATCTTATGGGGCGTAGCGGGTCTCCATGGGTCCGCCTCACCGTCAACGATGGCAACACGCGGATAGCTGAAGTTGAACCCGCCATGTTTGTTGATAGCATCTACGTTGGGGGGTTTGGTGATGTTGAAAGCCTCCCGACAGTAGACGGAGCTATACTCCACGTCGATGACACGGGAAACAAGCGGGAGTTGGTTTTCGGGTACTCCGGAACCAGTCTGGAAGTAGCCCCATCTTTAAGACGCATGTCAGTCTTTGCCATGATCAAGAACATCGAGATCACAGTTAGCAGACGATTGGGAACGCTTACTCAGTGCACACTTGATAAAACCAACTGCGCCCATAACCTTGGTGGACGCTGATATTTTGGTAGTCCTCTCTTTTCCGGCTTGAAAAGCACTTTACCAGATCTCCGCCTCTGCAACCTTTCTTGACGTAATTTCTCACATAGCCGGCGTAGTTCAGCATGCGATTCGTCAGCTTCACATCGGCGCCGCTAACGGAAAGTAGCTCCTCGACAGCGGGCCTAAGATGGCGTGTGCTGCCGAACAGGACGCTGTCCGAGCTGACGGTGGCGCAGTAGGTTCCGAAGCCAGTCGAGTCCAAGGCGGGGTCCCAGTTCGTTGATTGCAAGCCGGATATGCCATAAGAAATAGTGCTAGCGAAATCATCGTCTTGCAGCGGACCAAGCCCAAAGAGCTCCTTCAATTGGCTCACGTAGCTAGGCTTCACTTGCTCCGACTTGGCAAGCAGAATGTTGTCCACAACCTGGGTAAGCTTTTGGGTTGTCTCGGCACAGTCTCCAGGCGCAAATAGTCTGGCACCTTCGTAGTACTCCCAATAGTCGATGATGGCAGCCGTGACGCCGGAGGAAGAGATGCCGCCCCAGAAGACATCAGGGTAGAGCTTTCGCAGGAAAGCGGCAAAAGCACCTGCGTAGGAGCCTCCATAAACAAGGTAAGGGGTTCCCGGAGCGGTCAGGTTCAGGTCCTCGTGTCCGGGGAAGCTGATGTGCTTCGCGAAATAGACGGTGTCGGCAAGGGCCTGGTCAGTACTCAAGAAGCGGAGGTTCTCGGTGCTGAGGTTGGGGACGGGAAAGCTCTTGCCATAGTAGCGATGTTCAAGAACGACGCCGACGCCGCCAGTGGCCTTGGCGAGAATGGAGAGGATGCCATGGTCCAGGAAGGGCAGACGGTCCTTGCCATCCGTCTCGCCGGCAGCCAAGATGATGACAGGACCTCCTGGGCGGTAGTACTTCGCATCAAACCAGTAACGAAGGTTGAAGTAGTCGTCAGAGTGCGGTTCGTAACGAGAATCGTTGTGGAAGTGGTCAATGGGCACAGAGAAGTTGTACTCTGGGTACTCGGAGAAGGCTGAAACGGACTCGATCTGGAGTTGGGGCGTCGAATGAATCGCGTCCCATGCTTCACGGTTCATGAGGCGGTGCTGTGGCCCTAGTCCGGCGGCTGCCAGCGCCGCGCCCAGGAGCATGCAAGCTCTCGACTTCCAATGCGCCGCCATGGTCTCCGGCTTGTGTCGGGGAAACCAATGATGTCGGTTCTGCAGGTGGACAAGGTTGGTTCGTTGATGTGTGTATGTGTCTTGGAGAAGTGATGATGTGACTGGAATGATGGGCCCTGTTGATAAGGTACCTTCATGCGGGAAATAACGCGCCGAGATACGTACCTGCCTGATTGGGGTAGCGGCACAACGTCCCACTTTCTGCGCATCCCTTAGGCTTAGGGTCGAGTTCCAGTGGAATCCCAAGGAAGAGAAACAGACTTTGAACACTGGTTGCTAGATATCCAGCCGAGCTTCAGAGAGCGTATTGTTTTAGCTTCTTCCCAGATACTTGTTGTATTTTCTCTCGTTTGACTAGACCAAGGTCGAGATCCTCGAAAAGCGGCGCTTGGAACGGCCCTGATGTTGAGTGGTGTTTTTGCCCTTCGTTTTCCGAGTCTTGTAGCAGCACTTTCGCCTCTGTAGTATCCATCAGTGTCTCCAGCAGCAAGCACCATGAATGAGAAGAGACTCCGCAACATCCCCCTAGCGACGCAGAGCCAACACTGTAATTCGATGTAAACTTTTGTGCACTGTATCAAGTCAGGTCTTCTTTCTGACTTATCAGTAGCGTAGGTCGGATCTCGGAGAGCCGTAAAGGATCGTTTTCTTGTAGCCGAAGCTACAGACTGCCAACTCATAGTTCTGCGTACATGTTAAACTAGAGCCACTCGACGAAGTGGAGACACTGTAGCCGCACAGATCACGTCTGGGAACGGAAACGCCTTCAGAGATGCTCCTGACAGCGGCTCCAACAACTTCCGGGGCCTACAGAGTGTGCCTTCAATCAAGCCAACTGTCATTATTATTTTTGGACTCGAACATGGGCTGAGCTCGATTAACGGTGAAGTTAGGGAGAATATCAATGTAGTAAGAAGGAAGAAATACCCCAACAAAAGGTATCTCAGCAATCAATTAATAATATACACTAGCAAATCAGTTGTCCTTTTCCCCATAACGCCGGCCGCCATCGTCTCTAGCCGGAGGACCTAACCAAGAGGCCTCTTCTTTGGGCCAAACACATTCAGATTACCAAGACATGTCATTCAAGTAAGGCTGACCTCAAACTGTGGCACCGCACTCGAGCTTCCGTAAGAAGTGGTAGCCATACTACATTTTGACGCGGAATAGATATCGGAGGCGGACCTGAGCAAGGTCGTAGACAATGTACTCGTTGTACATGAGATATGCATTGGGGACGTTGGTGTTGCCTGGTTTCACACTCACGTCGGGCTATCCGAGGATGATTAGTGACAATTCTTGCATCAAGACGCACGCCGGACATTCTCACCATTTTGACACCCTTGAGGGACGGATTGACGGAGCCAGCATCCACCCACTGGCTCGGGCCAACCATGCCCTGACCCCAAGTTGACCACATGCCGTTCGCCCGAGCGGTTTCGCCCGCATGGTAACTCGAGTTGGTGAGTTTCTGCATCGGGTCGCCAAGCTCGGCCTCGCAAAGTAGCAGCAGAGCCTGACCACCAGAGCTACCGGAGGCGCAGTAGTTTGCCGATTTGGTAGACATGTCTGCAAGATAGATACCCTTGCCGAACATGTATCCAGACACCGGAGCCTCGGGAGGCGCGATTCGCAAGCCCTGGCTGAGAATACCACCAAAGTTGGTTACACGAGAGCCGTGCCACAGCAAGCGCCGGTCGGACTTGATGGATGAGAATTCGCTCTTTTCGAAACGATCTAGCTCGCCCTGTCGTTCGATGCGGAAGATATCCTCAATCTTGTAATTGACATTGTGGGTTGCGCCCTTGGAACCCTGGAGGTATTCGGACAGGAGGGCAAACTCTGAACTCTTTGGATCAATAGGAGACATCTCTTTCATTCCAAGACCCTGGTATTGCCTGTCGGCAGGGTGAATGTCATGAACCTTGCGGTCGACCTTCATAAGATCGGACGCAATCTTCATGTCTGAAAGACTGTCGAGCAGGTCCACCTCCTTCTGGAGCATCACACCAGTCTGAATAACGGGGGGGCGATTGCGACCGAAGGCATGGGGGATCAGGGAGTAGTATAGGTTCGACAGATGCTCAGTTGCTTCGGGCACGCTCATGCCGTACTTGGAGTCGGCAAGTGTGGAGTCGTTGAAGAGCTCAGCCATGTCCTTGAGTGCCTGGAACCCGCGAAGAATTGTGGCCTTGCTGAGTTTGCCGAGAGGCAGCTTGTTAGCGTCATAATTCATGGAAGTCATGGCGTCGCGAAAGTATTTCTGGTTGAAAATCAGACTCATCAACTCCTCCACAGGCTTCCCCAACGTGCACTGAACCGGCTCGGGCTTCTCATCGGACTCCTCATCCTTGATTTTGTCGGCATGTGCAGCATCGTCGTCGTCATCATCGTCGGCGTCGTGCGAGTCTGGCTCGTAGCTACGTTCAATGAAGGCGTACTTTTTGGGCTTGGGATCGTTTCCACGGTCAGCCCAGGCCAGACCGCTCTTGTCTTTGAACTTCTTCTCGAAGTTGCTCAGAGCGTCATTGAGGGAACCGTTGCCAAGGACCGCGCACTGGCCCCATTCGCCGACTCTGCCCCAACGGGTCCACGTTTTGTACGTCGTACCATCTTGAACGAGCTGGGAAGCGTCAGAAATGAAGGCGGGCGGATACGAGCGATGTTCAGGATGCACATACCTGAATGCGATAGAACTTGTTATTATTGTTCGTGGTATTGGTTTGGTTGAGCGACGCGTCGTAAATGACACCGTCAGGGGCAATGTAGACGGTACCCTGGACCCTGCATCCCTCATCGAGGGGAATGCTGAGTCCCTTGGAGGTGACCTGGCTACTGTCGGCCGCCTTACCCTTGGCGTCTGATGTAGCATCGGCTTGCTTCTTCACGTCGGCCTTGTCGTCAGCGTCAACGGTGTTCTTCTTCTTGCCCTTGGGGCCGGTGGCGGCTTTTTGCTTCTTGACGTCAGGCTTGGCATCGCTCTCAGTGTCGGACTGGACTTGGGAGTTTGTGCGCTTCTTGCTAGCGCCATTGGCCTTGGATACTGCTGCAGTGGCCTGCGACTGCGACTGCGAGGCGTTTTGATGGGAGCCATCGGCCTGTGAAGAGGCTCCTTTCTTCTGTGTTTTGTTGGACCCATTGGTCGCTGGGGCAGGGGTTGCCTGCTTGGCCGCTTGCTGGCCAAGCTCGTAACCAGTCTGGGGGAGGAGTGAACCCTGAGACTCGCAATCCTCGACCCACTGCAGGCTAACGATGGGGATGTCGTTCTTCTGGGCAGAAACGACCTTCGTGGTGAGGGCCTTGAAGTCCTCGGGGGTGGTAATAAGATGGGTCGTCTTCTTTGTAATGGATTTTGTGATACTGGCGCCGAGGGAGGAGAGCCAGGAATCAAGTTCGGTGCGCTTCTTGTCGAAGGTGCCGCTGATGGCGATGACAGCGCCGTTCAATGGCTGAGCAACTTGGGCGGGAGTAGCCGCAGCACTGGCGCTGGCAGCTGCCCGGGCCGATCTTCTCGGTGGCATCGTGGGTGTGATGGGAAGTGGAGATAGCTTGTGGCAGACGCTAGGACCTTAGGAAGGGGGGAGGCTGTAGTCTTCAAGGGGAATTGGATTTCAATTGAGAGCAAAGGTGATGACTGAGCACAGAAATTTGGAGAGGACGAGAAACGAGTTGAATATCGAAGCTTTGGAGCTTTGGAGAAAGAAAGAAGAAGACGCGAGCCGACTTTATTTGGCGTTCGGCGAGGAAGCGCCAGCCCATGCCATCCATGGATGGCCTGAAGGCACCGGCCGAGGAAGGCAAGGTGCGCTTTCAGCTCCTTTCGACAGAACCAACAAGGGGCTGCAGGCACCTGCCCCGCTGGTGCCTGGCGCACGAGCCACTGTATCGGTCGAGGTCCATCGCGTGTTCACGTGCAAGGGAGATACGGGCCTATCCTGCCTGCCATGGACTCCATCTGAGCTCCAGTTCGTGGCCATGTCATCCAATAAAGTGACGACTCGGCATCGGGGATCGCTTCATCTCGACGACGTCCCTCCAGCCATTCTCACACGGACCAGCCCATCATTGGCATCTCGTAAGTTTAGTGGCCTAGCTGCCTGGATGGTGGAGCCCGGGACCTGAACGGTAATCGTCATCGTTTGACTGCGCGGCTCCTTGGTGGCCTCTTGATTACTCCTCGTTTCTGACTATCTTGTTTGGATAACAAAGCATTCTGGCCACCTCGGAAATTCGCATTGGTAGATAGGTAACAAAGCTTGTTCATCAACTCATTTCTGACCACCTACCCAGCGTAACATTAACGACCATTGTCGGCCTCTGTTCCGGCCTATCTACGTCTCTAGGGCAAACGTCTATGAAAACATCAATCAGCGGGTGAAAGCCCGATTCGTAAATTACTATGTCCTCCCACGTCTCCAGCGCGTCTTGCATGTCGTCCGGGTAGGAGGCATCGCTGTCATAGTAAGCCTGATTCGTACATGATCATGTCCTCCCACATCTCCAGCGCTTCTTGCATCTCGTCCGTGTGGGCATTGGTGTCATAGTATATGTTCATCAAGTCGGCTGAATTAGGTAGTGTGCAATCGTTAGCCATGATGCACCCTCACTCTGCTCATCTTCTGGCCCGGGCTATGTTAGAACGAGAAAGGACAAAAGGGCGTGCTGTGAAAAGCCAAACGCGTGTCGAGGAATTATTCACCTTCCATCTCACCTTCCATATCCTCGTCCAGCTCCGAGTCTGTCACTTCATATTCGTCCAAGTCTTCGTCACTCTCCACCGGAAGTTCTGCCTTCACTTGCCCCACTAGCTCTTCGACGAAGTGTTTCCAATCGATGCCGGTGTACTCCTTCAGGTCCACCTTGTCGTCGGGAGAGTCCTTGTTGTGGAACCAAACCTTGGTATTGGTCATGAAGGTACGTTGAGCAGGGCTGCCAATCTTGATGTGGTCCAAGTTCAGGTTGGATGTCTCGCACAGGGCTTTCAGCGTCTTGGCCCACAGGTTGACCTTGTAGTGGTCGCGTCGCTCGTCAAGGTTTTGGGCCTCGGCAGCTTTGTTCCACAGCGTAAGCTTCCAAAGCGTCAGTCTCTTGAGTGTCGGCGAGAGCTTCCGGACAAGCTGGACCAGGCGCCTTGGCTCGACATCCACAAGACCCAAGTTGAGTTCCTCGACGTGCGGAAATGCCACGGGGGGAGGAGGTGGCGGAAGCTGGCTGTCGGAAGCTGCAAGCGTCGATGATCTATCGGTTTTGGAAATCGGGGTGCCGAGCCAGTTGATGAAGTGGTCGACGGCGTCCGAGTTGTTACCGGGGTGGCTGAAGTTCAGCCTCAGGTGCTTCAAATTGGGCATGTGCCCCAGGAAGAGGCGCAGGAGATAGTCGTGCCGACGCCGACTGAAGGCCGTATTGTCGTCGGCGCCGACTATAGGTGCTGTGGTGCGGAACGGGCCGTTTGCCACGTTCACAACGCACAGAAACGTCTCCAGGCCCCGGAGAACAGGGGTGACCTTTGGCTGGAGGTACTTGGTAAAAAGGTTGAAGGCGTCGTCTGAAGGGACGCCGTGGCCTTTGCGAAGTAGTTCAAAGGCCTTGGGGCGTGCACCGGCATTGCCGAGTGCTGTGAAGACGGAAACGAAGACCTTGTTCGTATAGGCCTGGATCTCGTCTATTGGGACGCGGAAGAGATTGACTTCCGTCTCCTTCTCCAGAGTGGTGGCACCGTAGCTTGCCCATGCGGCTGTAAAGCCATCGCGAAGACCACGTGCTTTGGAGTTGTAGTCGCGGATGCCAACGGTCTTGAGATTCTTCAGGTTGCGAAAAGCCTCGGTCAGCATAACAACATGGTGGCCGCTGTTGACAAGAGCAAGGTGATCGGCCTGGGCCTCGCGATAGCGAGTTTCGCAAGCTTCCTTGCCCGGGGGGAAGTAGTGGCGTGTGAAGCAATTAAGCCCGATGATGACGTGGTCGAGACAGTCGGACAGGCGCGAGTTGCTGATATCAACAAGAGCCTGCAGGCTGGACTCGGTGAGCATGAACTGGCGCTTGGTGAAGTACTCCTTCATGAAGGTGTTGAACAGGGACTGCTCGATGGATCTACACGTAAGGCGTAGAGCGCCCAATTCCGTGGTGTTGAGAAGGGTAGAGATGCGGAGAAGGACCTCGAGAGGGACCTTGTTGAAGGGCGAAGTGGATTGTGGGTTGGCAAGGGCGACAACGATGGGTGCCGACGACTTGCAAGTCGACGGCGGCGAGAGTTGCGACATGGCTGAGGGGTGGTGCGTTGTGCGTTGAGGACTGCGACTACCGCTCGGCTTCTGCAGGTTGACGATCCCCAGATCAGGACGTGGTGGGTGATACGCTACTGGAAGGTGATAAAAGCTCAACAGAGAGTCCGAATCCGGCAGGGGGAACCCATAGACCACTACAATAATAGCGTGCCGAGTTCGTCTCGGTTGGCAACGTTTTGTGCAAGAGCGGTTTCTCCCATTGGGGTTTACGCCCTCTAAACAAACAGTGTATACAGTCAGTATAGATAGTGTACCTGCCGACCTTACGAGGCAACGGCTTGTATTTGTACCTTTGAAAGTCCAACAGACGTTGGAATGACATCGATTTTCGGTGGTGGCTCGTGCTTAAGCTCTAGGCAGAAGCGGGGAAGGAACCGAAGGCGATGCAGTGCCGGGTTGGGTTGATGATGTTGGTGATGGAGAAGTTGAAAATCAAAATCCACCGTCTCCCCGCGTCCAATGACCAAAAAACGAGCGTTGCAAACTGTGCCGTCTCGTCTCAGCTCCGCCTCGCCACGTCCAATCGTCGGTCGTGGTGGCGTGTTCGCGTCTCACACTTGTGGCCGGTTCCTCCTGCCTGATGAGCGTTTGGGTGCTGGAATGTCTATCGAAGTAGTGGCGTGTGAAGCAATTGAGGCCGATGATAACATGTTTGAGGCAGTCGGACAAGCGCGATTTGCTTGCTGATATCGACGAGAGTCTGCAGGCCGAACTCTGTGAGCATGAACTGGTCTACTGGTATCTGACCTTCCGTCCGTCTGTACGGATACTGGAAATACCTAGGTAGGTAATTAGGTAATGCGGTCTGATGGCGGAGGAGCTCGGGCCACATTGATGGCGTGACCCTCTAGCTACCATTATGTTTTGTGCAGGTAGGTACGAGTACGCGGTCACTGGTCAGTGCTCCTGCCGTCTGCCTGCCGGCCCGTCTTCGTCTCCTTCCAACCAAGGATATCCTGTTTTGTATATTGCAGGCCTTCCTGGCAGTCAACGAGGCCCAGGGACCGAAAGGTGTAAGCGGCCAGAGATATCCATATGGTACAGTCAGAACCACCGTAAGAACCTTGTGGGTATTTTCAACATCAGCTCTACTTAGGATTGCCCTGCTTTGCCCCCCCCCCCCCCTCCGCCCCCCTTTTTTTTTATTTCTTTTTTATAAAGACTAGGTCTATCACCAGACCTGCATATCTGCATATCTGCATATCACCTCTCACCTCCAGATATACATCTATACTGATATGATAAGAGGGATTAATCAAGATAGGGGCTTCTGTCATAAGAGCTCTTCCTACAAGGATGGGTGCTACCTAAGCATCAAGGGGTCCAATCTTTCTCTCGGTCTCTTCTCCTATCTTCATTCTTCGCAGCAGCATTCAAGACACAAAAGTGTCCATGTGTTGTAAAAGTAGTGAGATGCTGTAGTGATCTAGATGTTGGCGCAACCAACCTGGCTGAGCCCATTGCGACGGCAACAGAGCACCCATCCCCATTCAGCCGTCTTGTACTATTGACTGCGTTTTTCATAAACATGAGAAACCTCTGTTTGGTTGCCTACACGGATTGCGCTGAAGGGAGGGTGGGGGACGCCAAGATGCGTCCGGGTCTGGCTGCTCGGATTGTACATATTTACAGGGTTTTCTATCTATCTATCTATCGAAGCCTGTTGTCTCGGAATCAATCGGCCAAAGTTACATTCGGCGCGCCGGAGCCCCATGCCGGTTTTGCATCGTTTGTTTGCTCGGAATGATCCCAGGCTCGTTGGTTTCCGTCGTCATCCGGAGGAAGGTTACTTTAACCGTTTTAGTTTGGAAGGCTTAGCGGCACGACTAGTTCGAGACAGACAATTTTGACGACCAACTCTGGTGTTTGCCACAGCGCCGCTGCTGCTGCTGCACTATGTTAATAATCGCCACTCATCATTGCGGACGTGTGAGTCGTTATTGCACCCATGGTCCTGTCAAGGGCTCACACAATCTTTGTCAACGATTAGGGGGGTTGCAACGGTCGAGGCACCCTGTCTCTTCCAGGAAGCATGCGCTGCATTAGTGCAGAGGTCGAAGGAGGCCGAGACCAACAGTCCTTTCAGCTTCAACTCGTCCGGCTCGATACTCCTTCACGCTACGTCGATCAGACCATTGACGAGTTGGTCAGTTGGAACATGCGAGAGGCTCCCAACAACCAAGGCGTTGGCAGAGTCAAAATCTTCGCCCAGCAGATACGAGCAATCTCGTTGGCCTTTATTCGAAGTACAGGGACCCACGTAAGCTCAAGCCGATTGGGAAGGCGAGCCTTGTCAAAAGCATCAGGGCCGCGTACATGTGTACAATGTGGTTTTGCTAACTGCTATCAACGCTGGCTGCTACGGCCGGCAGGCCTGATTCAATCTTCCCAGGATGCGCCAAGACTCGGGAGCGGGGAGCCTCTTTTCGCTGCCGTCGACGACTGGATCCGGACCTTATTTTTCCACTCTCCGCCCACCCCTGTTCGCCCGCACTCGACATGGTCGGAGATGAGCCACCGAGCCGGGGGTGTCAGGGGGACCATGTCAGTGTACTTGGCTCTTGAACAAGCTCCCACCATGTCGATGGCGCACATCTGATAGCCGCCCCGTAGCCATACCCTTGTATTATCGCCATCTAGACATGCAATACTTCGACGCATATGGACATGGAGGACAACCTCAATGGAGACTCGGGGTTTCCCCCTCGCTCTCGCATCTGATGGATTCCTATGGGCGATCAATAAGCGCAATACCCCACTCCCTTCGCTCCCGTTCACCCCGACTCGTCCAAACAATCCCAGACCCCCGTCAACGGACCCTCTCATCAAATCACAAAAAGTCCACAACCCGTTCAAGGCGATGGTGCCGAACCGGCTTGGTTCCGACTCAGATGCCAATAAAAAGAACTCTTGTCCCAAGGCCTTAGCTAACCTTGGGAAGCTTGGCGGCTCAGATCCGGTCTCACGCTTGCTTCAATCTCTATCACGACAGCAGCTGTCGTCTCTTCTCCTGGTGTTCCGGCGCAGCCGTTCGTTTCCTGACCGCCAAGCCCACCATGAAGCCCCTTTTCTTTTTCGCGACCGCCGCCGCGGCCGCTGGCCCGTACCTGGCCTGGACCGCCGAATCCTTCACCAAGCACGAGATCGACGACAAGAAGCCCTTCCACTACACCAAGGCTGTCCTTTACGACGGCTTCGAGGCTGCCATCGAGCTCACCAAGGACGAGGCCCTCGTCGACTGGTACCGCGGTCGCATCGACGAGCGCGTCGTCCTCGCCAACGGCAGCATCCCCAAATGGCAGCCCACCAAGTACTCCCTGGACGAGTACCGCATCGGCAACAACATCCTCTGGTGGTACGAGCGTACCGGCGAGGAGAAGTATAGGACGGCCGCCAAGACCATCCGCGATCAACTGGACCGTCACCCTCGCACACTGGAGGGCGGCTTCTTCCACCGTAGCCCTAACTACGATCATCAGATGTGGCTCGACGGCATCTTCATGGCTAACACCTTCTACGCCAAGTGGACTTCTCTCTTCGACGCCAAGAACACCACCGCCTGGGACGACATTGTCAACCAGTTCGACGTTATTGACGCCCACACCCGCAACCGCACCACCAACCTGCTCTACCACGGCTTCGACGAGTCGAAGCAGGCCGTCTGGGCCAACCAGGTCACCGGCGCCTCCCCCCTCACCTGGTCCCGCGCCGTCGGCTGGTATTCCGTCGCCCTTCTCGAGGTCATCCAGCTGCTGCCCCGCGGTCACCCCGGCGTTGTCAAGCTGTCCAAGTACTTCACCACCCTCGCCAAGGGCCTGAAGAACGCCCAGGCCCGGACCGGCGGCTGGTGGATCGTCATGGACCCCCCCTACGTCGGCCGCCCCGGCAACTACATCGAGTCCTCCGCCTCCGCCCTCTTCGTCTTCTCCTGGCTCAAGGGCATCAAGCTCGGCCTGCTGCCCGCGCGCAAGTACTTTCCTGCCGCCGCCAAGGGCTACAAGAAGTTGACCACCTTTGTCATCGAGAACGCCAACGGCACCGTCAACTGGAACGGCACCGTCGAGGTCGGCTCGCTCAACAGCGACGCCAGCTTCGAGTACTACACCTCCGTCCCCATCGCCATGAACGACCTCAAGGGCGTCGGCCCCTGGATGTTCGCCTCGTACGAGTGGGAAACCTTCAACCATACTAAGCGTGCCGGCCGCACCCGTAGGCCCCGCAGCGACAACCGCCGCTACCGCTTTTAGATTGGGAGCCGGAGGAATGACATGACGATGAAGAAGCATGGCTAATGAGACCAAAAGGCATGGCCCTAAGCATGTACATGACTTATACTTAATTTCGTAATCCCCCGGAAAGGGGCGTTGTACATATCTACACTAATCTGAACATAGATTTGATGTCACTCGCCGCTGTTTATACTTCCAATGTGACCAAATCCTGTCCTCCATGCGCATCAGAAGGGAGAAAGGGGGGGTTGCTCATCATGGTGGGACGTGACAAGCTTGCCAGTGCGGCACCGATTCTCCATCCTTATGAGCTCAAGAATTGGTCGTGAGTGTTTTCAATTCACCTTTTCAGCCCTTCGCCGACAATCTATTCTGGCCGAGTGTACATCAACCGAAGCCATCCGGGCGCGAGCGAGGTAATACTCTTCACAAGGATGCAGAAACACACCCTTTTCGAGTAAAAACTTCGGCCAACGCAGACTCCCGTTCCACGTCAGACTCATATCCCTCCGGAGGCGGCAGCAACGGTGACAAGGCGATGTAAACAAAGAACCCCGCTTTCACCTCAAGATACACTTTCCCCGGGTTTCACAGCCTCTCGGTCGCAAACTCGTGCGCCGCGGCGATCCTCCCATTGGACTTGGAAACGAACCCATTATGCCACGTTCTGTCCTCGAACATGGCGGTCACAATCACGACAGACGGTTATACGGGGTTGTGGAACAGCATAACGCTCGAGAAGGCCTCATGAAAGCATCCGTTTCCACAAACCCAGGGCTCTCCAGCGGGTAATTTGGATCCACAACCGTCGCCGCCCGGATCCTCTTCCTCCGCTCGCGAGACGTCTGGAGCGCGGCCTCAAAACGCCCCATCACGTCATGCTCGAGACACGTCTCGGGTGCGGTATCGGCATACACCACCTCCACCCCATCTCGCTCCCACAATCGAGTTCGAAGCGTCCGTATCTAGACTGCGAAGTGAGTGTCCATGTCCCCCCACCGGGAGACGCCAGGGTAAGAGCGAGAACTACACGGCCATCGGGCCCGACGCGAGCTGACCATCTGAGGTACGAAGTCGGAGCAGGGCGCAGCCGGGTGCCGCCGGTAGTGCTGTAGCTATAGGTGAAGACGTACCGGGGCAAAGGAGGAGAGGCCCTCGAGCGCGAATGATATCACGCCGGTTTGGCTCGAGGGGGACTACGTCTGTGGGATAGCAAAGCGTCAAGGCCGTCGGAGGGCGGAGGTGGTTCTCGCACGGCGGGGTGAGAGCATTGCGCCGCTTGGGGGTTTCGTGTAGGTAGGTCATCAAAGTGAAGCGGTGGTGGCTACCTTGACTTGCGACTGGTTGTTGAACAGTCTGTTTTGTGGAACACTAGGGATATCCAGCCGTGGTTGTGTCGTACTCGGAAGGGCGTAGCCGGCATCTTCACCGATCGGTGTCCCTCCGTGCTGAGTAACTTTACAGAGGCCATCGGTCCAAGCCCCCCTGTGGAAGCGGATGAATCAAACTTGCGTAAATACGCTCATAGTGTTCTGTTCACTCCAATATGGCCTGGTGGGCAATCCATCACATGAAGATGAGGAAGGGGTTGGTTGAATCATTGGATTTACGCTCTGTAATCGGAAGACGACTCGATGTTGGTTCCGGCAGCTATGCAATTGATTAACCGCCGCCAACAATGGCGCTGGCGCCGGGGCTATTTTCCCCGTTGAGCTCTTCCGTTCGGACCGATGCCTGAAAGGGGCAATCAATACTCGCCAACGGTGCTGCCGGGACGGAGCAGAAACCCAAATTGGAGGGAACCGGTCTTGCATGGCCTTTCTTAGAGTTAGCCTATGGTGGTTCGGTATTGTCACATGTGTCAGAGTAGATAAACAAAGCTTTCCATAACGCTTCTCTCTTGCAAGCACACCATGGCGAGCACGATTCCCGTTCTCCCAATCTTCGCGAAGTCAGATAAACACTCAGGAATCCGGCATGGGTGACGCTTCTTGGCTAGCCGTCTGCGAAGAACTTTGACTAGAGAGTCTCGTGGCTGTAGAAAAACTCAAGGACCTCGTCTCGTTCAACGGCCATGATATGCTGGATTGGGTGAAACCCAAATAGAAACGTACTATGCTCTACATATGCACAGAACCGCATGGTCTGATTTAGCCATTTCGAAAGAGCTCGGGTGTCCTGCTCAAGAACCGTAGCATACCTCAAGCTAGCTTAGATTTGTTGAAGGGGCTATGAGACATCTTATAGTCTGGCCGTTCCCCAACTCATCGTTCAAACGTAGCATCGTGAAGCATGTGAGCAGGCGCTACCTTCGACTGAGACACGATGTATAGTGCCTTGTTCCCTGACGATGAATTTTGAAGCGATGCCTCTCGGACTCTGATAGAGAGCCGCAAACCATATGTGAGGAAAGTCTTGGGTTTCAATAACAGCGTTGTGTCATATGATTCTGTGTGCCTTGTTTTCACAATGGCGAGCACATCCAAAGGCTGCATTGCCATCGGACTTTACTGTCCGTGTGACTCGAAGCACCATCATGTGTATTCGGCATACCCGGAGAATCCCAAACCGAGCTACAAGGCCTAGCCAACGCATAAAAAGCGCGATCTGGCACAGCCTGATTCTGCTTACGTGCGGCCTCCTCGTAACACTTCAACAACAAGAGGCAAAGAATATCCAGGGAATAGCCTATCGACAAATCAAGGAGTACTGGCAGGTGCCTTGCCACTTTTCAGGCCGGCCACTCACTAACTTACATATTGCATGAGTGGGACCTGAGTTTCTCGCCAGAAGATGACATGTTAGGAAAACAACATCTGCAACAGGCTTACGTGAGTCTTTCTGTTCATGGTTTACATAGCCACAGAAGAAACTCGATCGTCTTACCGTACTAGAGCAGGAGGTGGGATAACTCTTCGCCAGGATGTGGGACTGAGATGGTCCAGCTGGAACCCCATATGTTGCTCAGACCGACCTAGAAACGTGGCGCAAGTGGTCACAGAGTGGCTTCATCAGAGGGAACAACAGACAGTTACACGACATGATGACGATGGAGGCGAGCAACTGGGCTTATGCCTGCGCACTAGCGCCGGGATTGCGGGTTAGACCACGATGGCATATGCAGCCCTAATCTTGATGACCCATTAGAAGACTGTGCTAATGGGAATTCGGCATGACTGCGTCAAGAGAGGCCAGCGTTGGCTAATGGATCCGAAGTGTTTGTTGGCGTTGGAGAAGCATTTGCATGGTTCAAGGGTCAGCACTGCCCACATATGGGTAAAAGTTGCTCGACTCCTGGAGTACGCTTGTGCCAAGAGAAGAGTCATTGTTGCTCATGTCTTCAATGCAAGTCGTATCCGTATTCAACCATCACCCTTGGTTGCTGACGATCCGAACCCAATAGCGACACCCTTACAGCCTCGCGGGAAATTATAACCATGACCTCACGAAGCCGTCTGAAAACATGCAAAACAAGCTGAGCGAGCTGCAAGAATGCAGCACATGAGTCGCAGGCACCGTGGCGACTGGGGGCTCAATTGGTGAGCGAGAGACGGGAGTGGATGCACGATGGGCAAGGGACGACAGGGCGAATGGGGGTTTGAAGCTAGGACAAAAAATAATGATTGACTGGCGAGTTTGACGTGCATAGGGCGAGAGATCTACTGGCGGCCAGAAATGGAATAGAAGGGTTATTTTAGTACCTTGACTGGTATCATCAGGGGAGGGGCGGGTGAGCGGCTGTGGTACGGGATCAATGTTTACCGCTCTGGCGACATGAAGTGGCTGGATCTACACTACCCAGCTGCGTGGTAGAGACCATTTTAGAGGCCCGAAAGGCATTGTTGAAGGCCGGGTCGGGATACAAGGGGCCAACGGGAAGGTAGAACAAACAATGGTTAGTTCCTTTGTCACGGGCGCTTCTGAGCAAAGAGGGTTGCGAGTTGCCGCATACCGCCGAGGCGGGACCTCTTGCGCCTCAAGCTGGAGCTGGAAGCCTTCCCAAGCCCAGTCATGTGCCGAAGATTGTGAGATGATGGGACAAATTATACACACATAACCCCCTCGAAGTTGCTGGTCGACGGTCATGCGGCGGCGACGAGAGCGGTGGCTTTTCCGGGGTGGATGAGTACAAGATCCCCAAGGCCTCTGTACAGCGCGAAACGGGTGGAACGGAGCACGCGATGCCACCAGTGATTGTTGGCACACGACAATGCCTCACGCCAGAGACACGAATACCTGGGTAGACAGGCTGACTGACGGGTTGTGCGGTGTGGGACTCGGTCTGGCGGCCATCTCTGTGGACATGACCAGTGATATGTGCGTAAAGGTTGCTGCATGGAGGGTGACAAGAGAGGGAGCGGCTCGGTAGTCGACAATTGGCTCCGGGGGTCGGAAATGGTGGTGAGGGAGGTGAGGGAGGCGGTCGCGGTGATGATTGAGGCAGCAGACGGGATGGTGTGGGTTGATGCTGGTTGGGCGGGCCGGGGGTGTTATTTGGGGCCCTGTGATGTGCTGGCATGGCGTGCCAGCTCTCGTGGACGACGTAGATTGGATGGTGGGTGACCAGGGTGGCTGCCCACTATGTCGGTGTCCTGGTGGTTCAAGTAGGTAGGTACCCATCCAATATTTCTCAAGTCTTCATGTCTTCAGGTCTCGATGAGGGCGCGCATTGGGTGGTCGAGCCTGTAAGACGAGAGCCCCCCCCAAAAGGTCATGCATATGCCAACTCATCAAGGCGGCCAGAAGCAGAAACAAGTCTTCTGTTAATCCCGCTACCATCCTCCCCGCGTGGATGCGATGCTCCGGGCGGGTTGCCTTGCTGGTATCGATGTTGCCTGCATTTATTGGACCGACGGTGAGCGTTGATTTGTCCGACTTTGTTGGGGCAGTACTCCGGATGCTGATGAGGTGGACAAACATGGCATGGCCGATTCGCATGCAATTGAACTTCATGTTTGCAGACCGCTTCTCTGAGGCCCAAAGAAAGTCGATAGGTCTGGTCTGTCTGTCTGTCTGCTGCAGCGGGGTCGTACTCGTAGGTACGGAGTATAGTAGGTATGGACCGTGGACCGTGGACCATGGGACAAAGGACCACCAGACTCGGGAACCCAGGAGGCGGTGTTTCCTCTGCAGGGCAAATAGGCTGATATGACACACACATGTCCGGTGTCGCAGGCGAATGAGTGCGCAGTACGTATCCTTCAGGTGACAGCTGTGTCCGACGTGGTGAGGCAGGCACGATGCATCAAGGGGCGGCGGCGGTTCGTGTCGTGCAACAAGCAAGCAGTAAGACGAAGGAAGGACCAGCTCAATCAGGCTTCTCTGTGCTGTGTCTGACAGTCAGTCTACTCTACGGCTTGCAGGAGATGAACGACACAGAAGACTGCACTACGTAGATGTTGCGTTTGCAGCCAGAGCAGTGACAAACATGGAGACGGGGACAGCTGAGGCAGGGGAAGATGACAAGACCAAAGTCAATCAGAGGAAATGTCATGCAGTTCTCATGGTTGACCCTGGCACAGATCTGGTATGCGAGGAACAAGTCGGGATACCCATGGATGAAGGGAACTTGGAGTAAGAGTTGATGACTAGTTGACCTCCGTAGCAGCACAGCAGCACTAGTTGAGAGACGTCGAGGTTATTCGCTGTTGGTAGCTCGCTGGTATTGGCGAACGAAAAAGAAAAACAACAACAACTTGGTTGCATCGTGTGGCAGCAGAGATTACACTAGAACGGGCACCGGTGTGGTACCGGTATGGTGCACACCAGGACCGGGATTCGACGTGTTGGATGGGAATTTGAACGTTGGCTGGTGCATTGTTTTTTCTCCCCCTTCCATGGCAGGGTCCTCCCCTCCTTACTTACGATGGTACCATAGTAGTGCGGGCGGGCGTGGCAGGCAACGTCTCTTTTCCCCTTTTCTTTTTTCTTTTTCTTTTTGCCTCTCGTTCAACATTTCTTCTGCTTTTGCTCGGATTTCTGCATATTCCAGTCTCAGACTCCAGCTCTACGCCTTTCTCCCGTTGCTTCCACCTGTTGTTCCTCCTTTCCCATTGCATTGTCTTGTCTTGTGAGGTGGCAGGTGGGAAAGGCGTGCTTGCCCCATTCATTCCTTCTAGCTTCTTTCGGTCTAGGTCCGTTCTTCCCCTCCAAGCCTTTACCCCACGCTACCCGCCTCGTCGTTAGGAAGGTAGGTACGGTACTTGGGAGAAAGTACGGATGGGTACGTAGGCATTCGCCAGCGGTTCGCAGCAACAGGGAAGGAAACATCAGCCCCCCAGCCGCTCCTGCTTGCCACGCATTCACCCCGTTCCCGTTGCTGGCAGCCCAGTCCTTTTCCTTCCTTAACCGCTGGTCTGCTCTTGCCCGGTCGGTCCTGGTTCCGGGCTCTTCGGGCCACCCACCCCCTGCTTTCCAGCTGTTGGGTTGGTCCAGCAAGTCGGATAGCGGAGCCTCTCCCTTGGGTCTCGTCTCGTCTCTCCTGCCGGTAGGTAACTACCTCGCGTCTTGCTCCCTCACCTCAGTGTGGTGGTGGCCGGTTCCACGCTGCTGCCCGTCACCAGGTTGCTCCAGGTACCCAACGCTACGTACCTTACCTTACCTTGCTTGCCTCTTGCCAACTGCTAGCCCCCGTCCGTTGTCGTGTCGTGCCTGGGCCAGCCTGGCCTTGCCTTTGTTGCTTGCTGTGCCTTCCCTCCCTCGCCTTGCGACCCTTGCCTGCCTTTCTTGTCCCGTCCCTTCCTCCCGCATTACCTTAAACTCCAACCGCAACCGGGCTTCGACTTGCTGGTCCAGTTCCTGATCGTTTCCCTCCTTTTCAAAACTTTCTTCTTGCCAACCTGAACATCGCCGACCGACGACAACACACGCCCGATTTCATGAGGAACTGGCATTGCGCCGACCTCTCCTTTCCATCCCCCCCGTCCCTCCTTCCCCCTCCCCCTCCTCATTACTGAACCTGCCCCGCCACTCCAGCAGATATCGTATCCACCCTCCAGTCCAGCATTCACTTTGAGCAGCGCACAACCGACGATATCAAGCGGTCGCGACAGCACAGCGTTCTGCTTGCACGAGGGCTGCTGCTGAAGCTGCCCGGTCGCCTTGCATCCTCCATACTCATGGTCGCACTATGATTTCCATGCAGCGCTCCCTTTCCTCGCCAGTTCGCATAGTGTCTGTCCGTACGTCGCACGCAGCTATACTACCCACGACCCCCATCTCTCCTACCTTGTTCTTCACCTACTGACGGCCGCTACTTGTTGCGTTACAGCTGCCCCCAAAGATGACGCGAACCAGCCTCCATCACCGACGCCACCTCCCGAGACCTACAATCCTTCCTTCCGTTCCCGTCGCCAGAGATCCCCGAGTCCCACCCGGAGCGCAGAGGCCGCACCCGTCCGCCGTAGCGAGGACATGCCCAGGCGACCCGCCTCCAGGTCGCACCAGAAGCCCGTGATTGCCCAAGCGTCTACACCCACTGCCACCTCGCCGGTCAAGCCCGCAATGGAGCCTTCGTCTGAAGCGGCGCCAGTGTCGGCCGCTGACAAGACATCCTCGCCCGCAGTCCCTCAGTCCCTTCTCCCGGACCCGTCCTTGTACAAGAACCCTCATTTGGCCCCCGAGCCTGACACAACAACCCTGGAGGAGCTCGCCCATTTGGTTAGACTATCCAAGTATCAGGAGCGCAAGCGCGCAAACACGAGGATACGCCTGCAGAGGAATCTCATCTCCACGGCCTTGTCTGCCCGCTTGAACCGCTGCGGTGAGATTGCCCGGAAGAACTTGGTTGACTGTTTCCGGTCCGATGACAAGAAGACCTTTGCTTCTCTCTTTAACGCCATTCACGATGTGCGCAAGAGCTGCGACGAGCTACGGCGCTATGCTCTTTTGGAACCCGAGATGGATTCTCTCCAGTCCCCTGCTCTGGCGTCTTCGGAAAGCCTCGACACGCCCCCAAAGTCAACTTCAGGATCTAGCTCGTTGGGATCCATGACCCCTTTTCTCTCCGAGCTACCAGCCTCTGTCAGAGAAATCTTCCTGAACTTTCTGACCCAGATCAGGACCAACCCAGACTACCTAGCCACGAGGTTGTGTTCTCTGACCCCCACAGAACTGAATGCGTTTACCACATCACATCAGGGGCTGGAACCTGTAGAATCTGTTTTGCCCTACCATGGTCGCTCTACTGCTCGGGCTCACGCCGGCCCAAGTAGCCGGGGGCCTGCACATTCACCCAATCCTATTGAACGTTTGCTGTCCTTTCAGCGGCATGATCCCTTGTCAACTTTGGTCCATACCTGCTTCGCCAACTCCGCCGGCCCCGATAGCGCCGAAGACAGACGTCGAACTGAGATATGGGGAACGGCGCTAGCGAGACTGATTACCGAGTCCAAGGCAAGCAGCGAGCCTATGCTGATTTCCGTACTTAACGTCTGGACCGCCATGCGAGATTGGTCCGGGAAGTCCAACATGGAATGGTATCTTATGAAGATCCTCGAGGATGGCGCCTTTCTTTTGGACAAGGCCGAGGACCAACACGGGACTAGGTTCAATCTCGCCGATTGGACAGCCAAGGACAGTATCGCCGCCGAGGAATTTTATGACCGAGCCGTGAACGAGCTCTTCGAAATCATCGATGATGAGGATGCGACCGGTATTCCCGAAGGCCTCATTGAGCTGGGTAACGCCATACTAAAGAAGCTGGATAACAAGCTTGTAGAGGGCACGCGAAACTGGTTTGTGTACAAGTGGCTCTTCTCCGTCTTCCTTCTCGGCGTCGTCATCCATCCAGAGAGCCATGGTCTCATGGGCGATTACCACATCACCGAGTATGGCCGCCAAAAGATTCTCAAACAAGTCGCCATGAGGGCGCAGCAGCTGGTCGTAGAGATTACTTGGAACAAAAAGGGGACCGTCTCGACTCCGCCCAAGATCCAGGGGCACGTGGACAGCATTCTGAGCCGATTCAAACGGTCCAGATCACAAAGACCTACAGCCAAATTGCTGCCCGCCCGCTCCATTACCTCCCTCCGGGAGACTGTTGAGGTTCACCCATATTTGGTCGTGAGCCCGGCTGACCTAGTCACACTGGTCAATGCATTGTTCCCCGAGCGCCGGCCCATGTCGGCCCAGTCCGGTGGGTTAAGATCAGGAGCCCCTTCGATTTCTGGGTTTTCGGCGATTTCCCAACCAATCTCCATGGGAGCATCTCGGAGCAACTTTGATACAGCATCAATCCTCAGCACGAGTGCATCGTCCGTTCTCAGCGATGCTACAACGTCGCGCGAGACGACTTTGGAGGAGCAGAGGACCGGCTCACCTCAGCGGTACTCGCCCCCTGTTCTGGACCCACTCAGTCAAAGACGTCTTAGCAACTACGAGGACGACGGTTATCGCCTACGCTTCGCTCTTCGTGAGCTGGGCGCTCAAGTCGGAATGGACGTCGTTCAGGGCTCATGCCACCCTTGCGCTGAACGATGGGCTGTCTTGTTCATTTCAGCGGATGGAAACAGTTTGTCAAGCCAGATGACCTATGACCCAGACGAAGAGGTCGAAGATGAGGAGAACTCCTCAACCAGCGATACTGATGATGATGAGATTGACGAAAAGCCCGAGTTGGACAAGGACTACCATCAACTGAGAGATTCTATCCTGAAGCTCGTCGAGGATTTCGAAATACCAGCAAGTATTGAGCCCGAAGGCGCACGTGCACAGTTCAGCAACAGGGCCACCGGCATCAAGAAGTATCGATCAAAAAACAAGATCATCACGGCTGAAAAGTCCACTCCCAGCAGGAACCCTTATCGCATACGCAATGCCGAAGCGCAGGCGAGTATTTCACGGGCGAGTTTGCAAGAGGAGGACAGCGCGTCCACCAAAGAGACGGAAAAGTGTGAGGAAGCAGATGCAGAGCCGCCCTCTGTGCTTATCGCTATGCTTACCGCAGCCTCCGCTCAATCTCGAGCGCAAGCCGATTTCGTGTCGGCGCATCTTTATTGGAAAACGTTGCAACAACTCAACGCCCTTACCTCTGAGTCCTTGCGACGGAATGGCTTTGCAATCCTTTTGAACATTTTCTCCCGAGGACCACGAGATTCGATCCGCCGCTGCGCGTCCGCCATTGAGGAATACGATGCATGGCTCGTCTGGCTCAAGCAAAGTCAGGAGCGACACGAAGGACTCATCGACGCCATGATGAAGCGTCTGCGCGCTCTCCGTGATAAGATGTGGTATGTGACAGACGTTCGCAATTCCGCGCCGTACGAGCAAAGCCGCAATATTTGTGCTGCCCTCAAGACCATGGGTATGCCACGACGATACAACTCATATCAGCGCAATCGCGCCCACCTTTCACGAGGGCCCGCGTCAAGCTATCTGTATCGCACAGAGACACAGATCATGGACCTCCTAGCCGCTTCCGAAGAGCAGGGCGGGCCCAACAAGCTGAGCGACGATCAGGCAGACAAGACCTCGCGCTGGCTTCAACAGGCAGGGGTCGAAAACTTTTGCTGCGGAGAGGAACGCATACACAGGTTCTGCTGTGAAGTGGACACATGCATATCAAAGCTAGTCGGCGAGTCGATCATGGATGGCCCTGTCTTGTGGTCGAGTGAGTTGTATCAACGGGACAGGCGGAACCTGGAGACGAACAGAAATGGTCCTCGCGACAGAGACCATCCATTTGACGACACTGCCAGCGTCATGAGTGACCCGGACCGGCGGTTCTTGTCTACTGGCCGGCCTAGCTCTGTTCGGGACTTGCGGGGCATGTCGGCTCACAACTCAAGTCAGCAGTCGTTCGACTCTGGCAGCTACCGTTTCTCAAGGGCAAGCACAGTCTTGTCCGACATTATAGATGGACAGGACTATTTTGGCGTCTCGTCGCCAGTTCACACCATCGACTCCAGTTCTACGTTTTGGTCGCCGTTCCAATCGGCGATCTCACCGAGCTCGACAACGTCCCGCGCTCAGTCTCCAACAACAAGCATGACGAACCTATCTAGCGTGTTCCAAAACCCTCCGCATCATTCAATGGGCTCTCAAGCAAGCCAGTCAAATGGCAGACCAGGTACCTCGGCATCCTCCAACGAGACAATACACCAGCAACGTCTGTCAGAAGAGAAGGCCCGATTCCTCAACGAGCTACGCCAGACGTTGGTCAGCCTACTGCTGTCCGATCTAGGCACTCTTGTCTTCTCTCGCGGTTCAGAAACAGACGATTGGTTTTCCACTTTGGGTCAAGAGTGCATCGATAGGCGGGATGCCCTCGACAGACGCGCGCGGAGAGCGGGGAAGTCTGGCAAACTCTCGCTGAGACCGCGTGTCATTGAAAAGAAGAAGAGTTTTGGCAACTTGCGAGGTGCCGGCGAGACAGACAAGAACTCCGAAACCACAGAAACCGCAAGCGCTCCGGGAAATGACAGCCCAGCGACAAGCGACACTGTTTCCACCCGACCCAAACATACTTCCAAGGAGTCTACACCCGAGTTCCCTTTCAAGAAGGCTTTCCAACGCCTGCTTCGCATGTTCAGCGTCCATCCCAACCCTTATGCCAAACTCAATGCCCTGTATGAGCTACAGCAACTCATCATCGCATCTCTGGCGAGTGGTTCGCGGAGGTCGAGACTGGGATGGAACCGGCAAGAATTCATGTCCGGCTCAGGCGACGATTCCGCGGGAAACAGTCGCCCTAATCCTCTCGAAGAGGCAATTGACAACGTCAGAGGCAGACGTTCACACACACTTCTGCAATCGCCCTTGACCTCGCCACCGATCATGGGACCTCACCAGATGCGCCAAAGTACTAACGAAAATCGGAACTTTGCTTCAGGAAACTCATCTACCACTGACGCTGTCACTAATGTTTTGCGGACCCTGTTCCGAGACGCGTCTATCCGCCCAAAGACACTCTTCCGTGACTTACAATTCATTGCCGCTTTCGTCAACCCAGCCATTCTCGACAACACAGACAAGGGCACTGCATTCTGGGATACGGGCCTGGCTGCCTTGGGTCTCAAGCAAGAAGTGTGCCGTACCATGATTGAGGTAGCAGACGAGGTTCAGGGCGTGTACACGAGCACTCGCAAGACGACGAACGATACGCCCGTTCAAGATCCGGAACGGCCAGATACCGACTCTCCTCCTCCTGTGACAACAGCGTACAGCTTGGCACAGGCAGGCAAGATGTGGACCATCACGGCGAAGGAGGGTCTTCCGACAGCTCAACGAGAGCTGGCAATCTTTTACCTCTCCAACCCTGAGCTTGTGGAGCGTACCACCTTACCGCTCTCCAAGCCGCGAGAGGTCTTCAAACAAGCCGTCATGGACAAGTACGCCGGAGCGTCCGGACGGACCGGCCCTGGCACAAGGCTCTATGCTGGTGACAGAAACCGCACGACGGGCGCGTCCGGTCTCAGCGGATCTGTTGGCTCCCAACATCCCGGGCAGGATTCAGGCTCCAAAGACGGAGATGTTCGCAGCGACCCCGCGCTGATGTGCGTGGCAGTCCACTTTTTCCAGGCAGCAGAACAGGGCGGCGACGAGCTTGCCACTTCGTTCCTCCGCCAGAATGAGTTCAACGCCATGGGATAGATGGCAGGTGGCTGGGTCCGCCTACTTTATTTAATCCTTATTTCACTTTGCCCCGACCTTATTTTCGCTCGGCTCTCGCTAGATGGACACGAGTAGACTTTATGGAACCATCTGCGGGTTCAATGTTCTCTTGTCCATCACTCGTACACACAGAACATATATATCGGTACCCCTGGTTGGTCAGAAGGTCGCTGCAACTTGGAAATAGTGCAGCAGGCAGGGTTTGCTTCTTCCCCCCTTTTTCAATATCTTCTTCTTTGACGATGGTTTGGCTTCGATTTTGTGCTAGTCCACCCTTATTAAAGGTGGCGGCAAATATTCTTTTTTTAGGGCAGCGGTTATCTGGGCTTTTATGGAGGATATACCACTTTTTTATGCATCACATCATGACTAGAATATGAAATACAGGCTTTGGGTTCATGAAGTTAGCTGCATCAACATTGGGTGTTGTGCTGTGACAAAATCTGGTCTTTGACGATGACTACTGTTGGTGCACAGAAGGCGGGGGGGGGGGGGGGGGGAGAGCGTAGGTTGGACAATGCCCTTGTTGATTTAGACCACACATACTTGTAATGGAACTAAAAGCAAGACTGCAACAACGGGCATGCTTAACTTCGAGGGCGGACAAGGCGCCGTGATTCTATTCACCTAGTTCAGAGGCGCAGAGAATTGACAAGTATAACCTATAATTTATATGCAATACAAAACCACAAGAGTGCCACCGGCCCCGGCCCCGTCCAGGGCCCCGTCTTAGCTGGGGCTAATACCATGTGAACCAAGCAACATCAAGCCTTCTTCTCACAGTAGTACGCCCGGCCAGTTTTTACCCTTTTGGTACGGGGGGTTAGCAGTATTGAAAACAAACAACAATAGACAAATAATCCTCCCTTCAAGACCTGTAACGCCGTTTTTTCCATTTTGTTAAACTCGTATGCACGTCAGCCCCCATCCGACCCAGCTGTTGCTGCCTAGCTTCTGTTGAGAAATCATGGGCTTTTGATAAACCGCCACCTTATTCCCGAATCATGAAGCATATCTCGTTGAAAAGGAGGTCTACTGCCCCCTGCCAAAGCGGATGTCAAAGTCCTTGAGCACGCTCATGATACTCGCCGCCTCGACCTCGATGGGCAGGCGGGAGGGGGATGGTAGTGTTTGGCCCGGTTTGGGTGCTGCGCGGAGCTTGGGCAGCCACGAGCCAATGTCATCGGCAGCTTTTTCAAAGTTGCGATGGCTAGATAACGTTTGGTAGGCCTCGGCACAGCTCAGGCTCAGACCGAGCTTGCCCTTGGTCGGAAGACGAGGCGGCGCTGGCTCGGACTTGCAACACCCGCCGCTTGCGCCCGCACCGCCGCAGCACCCGCCACCGGAGCTTCCGCCGTTGCGCTCGAAGTTTGCGGAGAGGGCGCGGCAGAACAGGCCGGATTTGGGATCAGCGAGACACTGGGCGCAGGACCCGGGACCCTTGGGACCGCAGCCACGGGATACGGGGACGACGGGCTGGGTCGTCTGAGGACGAGGCCGGAGCTTGACGGCACCATCGGCGTCGATCTCCATGGGTACGGGTGGAGGGACAGCGTCGTTCTCTGACGGGGGAGGGGTTTGGGTCTGTTGTGAGTAGGCGGGAGGAGGGCCGTAGTCGGTAGCAGCGGGAGGACCGAGGGGTATGGAAGTGTCAGCGCAGAGGCAGTAACTTCCGTCCTTGCAAAATCCGCAGGAATCCTTGAAGGCCATTGAAGGCAGCTGGGAGTGAGACTGAACAAGGGAAGAGGTTGTCGTCGGCTGCTGCTGAACAGGTGCCTTCTTGGAGAACATGGCCGTAAAGTCGATCTCCGTCTCCTCCTCTGGCGGGGTCGGCTCGGTACGGTGCCGCTTCTCCACAGATACCAATGCCGAAGGCGAAGATGATCTCTTCAGGTCCGAGATGATGGCGCTCTTGATAGTTTCTTCAAGGCATGCGCATCGGCCTCCGAGAGTGCAGTTGCCGCAGCCTGTGACAGTGTCGGCAAGAATGTCATTGGCGCAGGCGCAACTGTCAGGGCCGCATGAGCCGCAGCCAAAGAGGGCAGGAGAGTCTGGCATGTGTGTTGAGTCCTGGGGGGAGACGATCTGCGGAATGGAAAAGGGCTGGTTTGAGTGGCTGACCGAGGGGTTGGAAGGTTCATGATGGGTAAGCTGAGCGTCTCGGCGGCGGGGGGATGGCAGGCGCCTTGGGACTGTGGCCTGGTCACTCCAGCGCCTTTTCAGGCCCTCGAGCTCCGTCTCGGCCTTGACGCGATCCTTCCTCTCGCGGTCCAGCATGTTCTCAAGGACGAGACACCGGGACTTGAAGGACTGGAGCTCCATTTCGAGGCCGTGCACCCTGTCCTTGAGTTCCTGCTCGGCTTTTTCGTGGGTCTCACGGATTTCGTCGAGCTGCTCCTCCAGCTCGCCGACCCTCGCAGCCCTACGCTCGCGAAAGGCGCGCTGAGCGGCACGATTCTGGGCCTTGCGCTTGGTGGGCGGAGTGTCGGTGGCGGGCTTACGGCCGGGCTTTGGCCTGGGAGGGATGACCCATTCCTTGGTGGTCATAGACATCTTGGGCGCCTCGGCAGTGGGTGTTGGGCTGATGACGGAAGCCATGGACATTTTGTTCAAGACCTGGGGCGGCCTGACGGATATGGGTTGCGCAGCGTTCGGTCGAATGGCAGGAAGCTGATGCGGGGCGTGAGAGGCATTTGCCGGACAGCTCGGGGTTGGCGTCGGTGCACCGCCGAGGGTGCTCGCAGGGGGCGAAGCGGCGAAGACAGGGGTCGAAACGGCAGAGTTGGAGCGAGGGGTGGCAGTGTAAGCGCTGGGAGCGTCGGTGACTGACGGCGAGGTGACGGGAGAGAAGGTCGAGGGAAAATTATGTTGATGTGAGGAGGAGGGGGAGGAGATGTCGGCGGAAACACCTAAGGCGGCCATCATGGAAGGGACGAGCAGTATCGGTAACAGCAGCAGGGTGGTTCCACAGGCGGGGTTCGGCCGCTCATTCGCCTGCGATTAGTGGGATGCAGTGGTGACAGCTGAGATGCACCACTGACAGGTGGCACGAAGGCTTGCTGCAGATGTTTGCCGGCTGGTAAATCCGAGGATGCGGTTCGGTCCAGGTGGACGCTCGGCTGGCTAGACCGAACGAGATGAGATGGCTTGGGATATGTGAAAGAGAGATGGGATGAAGGGCTACTAAATATAGCTTCTCTTCGTCTTGGGGGAATGTGCGTCTTTACTCGTTTTCTATTTCGGCAATTGACATTGCCCAAGAAATCGGCAATGAAGATTTGTTGCAGAGCGATCTGGGCTGATGCTGAGGTAATATAAGGCGATTGCAAAGCTAACAGGACAGGACAGATGTGTGTGTGGTCAAGTGCTAGCAATGTCGGAAGCAACCTTCAATGCAGCGGTTGTGTTATTGGTGCGTAAGTGGTTCTCGAGATGTGATGAGTGCAAGGATAAGGACAAGAGTAGCCAAAGAAATTATTCCCCAAAAGGGTGTTGGCAAGAATTGTTGATGGGTGACAGATTTTTGTTTTGCTTCTCTTTCTTCTGACGGTCGGAGCGACGGATGTGAGCTGGTAGAGTTCTTCGTTGGTTTGGAGGGGAGCCGAAAACAACAGGTAGGGCGGAGGAGGGGTAGATGAGGGAGGGGGAGAGGAGGAGGGGATTGGAGGGACACGACGGACTCGAGGGGAACGGGAGAGGAAAGATTGAAAAAGCAATTATGATCTGATTGATAAGATTATCTTGCTCGCAGAGTCCCCACCTAGGGCGCTAGTCCCTGTTTTTTTTTTCTTTTTCTTACCAGGAGACTTTTGTTACTCACTCACTCCTCACTCTCCAGTCAGGTCCCCACTGGTTCCAAACCATCAGTGTATTCATAGTGTAGGGTACGGATATGGGTACACACACACACACACACACACACACACACACACACACACACTCGTAGACGGTCTCATGGCTGGGCCACAGCACCCACAGCATACTCAATGGGCGTGAAAAAAACATACACTTTCGAGCCCTGCGTGCTATCGTTCGATCGGCCCCATGTGCCTTTCCGGTTTCGAGCCCCTAGTCCGAGTTGCGATTTCGGATCATGCTTTCGACCTGCTCAGTGGCTGATTAGGTACTCAGCCCGGCTTTTTCCTTGGATCAGCCTAACTGAACCAAGGGATCCACTGCTATGCGCTTCAATCCCGCTGAGGCGGCTTGTCCTTGGGGTCGGCCGATGTCGCACTTGGTCCGGCGGGTCCATTTGAATGGGCATGGCCATACCATTTGCAAATAAGGTTGGTTACTTGTCCGATGACCTATTTCGTATGCCGAGATATCAGTTGCGAGCATCGCCCGGTAATCAAAGACCCTGTGCCTCAATGGATCTCTGGCCGCCGTTGGCCAATCGTCTCGGGTTAGTTCATCAGGAGATTAAGAGGTACTTGATAAGATGTCACTGCCCACCATGCCCTCCATCCGTATTGCCATGCATCGCAACACACAACACACACACACGCCATTTTACGACCAATCGTTGGGTTTGGTCCCCGGCGGCTACTTTCATACTATGTATGACTCATGGGGTACCTACTGTTACAAGCTTTCTTCGTGCTCGCTGGCTGCGTCCTAAACGGCCGGCTCTGGGACCAGTTAGACCGACTGTGCATGCTGTGTCTTTGAACCCTAAGCCACTTTGCGCAATCAGATCGGCCCTTTCATCCCACATTTGCTAATCCAAGTGGAGGCCCGCAGGCGGGGGAGCGGGTGTTAAGGGGAAATGACCTACAAAATAGTTTACGTATCACTATTGGTACGTACATCGCGTGGTGACTAAAGTGCAAACCTCTATGTACCCTGTGTAGTGTACACTATTAGGTAGGTATCTGGTCGACGGTAATTGTCGGTATAGCCCAGGCTACTCGTGTAGCTCCGAGATCGCCTTCTCTCGGGCATCTCGGCCCCTGGCAGTTCTCCAAGGACACGTACGATCCGGTCGCCGACCTCCAATGCACCTCCACAATCCTCCCATGAACCCCGGATTTGCTCGTACACTTCACTAAGCTTTCTCACCAGTTACTGCGTCAGTGATGATGATATGCCGTCATTGTCGTAAACACCGGGCAGGAAGATCTTCACTCAATCATCGTTGGTGCAGGGTTCAAAATTGGCCAATCCAAAGCCAACTCAACTCCCCTCTGCGCCAGAGCGCAGCCCGCATTTACGCAACCGTGTCCACTGAACGGCTGTGGGAACGTGGTGGACCGCCCACTGTACTGATACTGTTTGATGTCTATTTCCCACAGTGAACCCCCCGCGAAACCCAATCCGACCTCCCCAAAGAGCTGCATACCTATCCTATCCTCCAATAAAGTCTTTGCTGTCTGCGAAGGGGAACCACCAACGTGCCATTCAAGCCGCACCTTACGAAACAAAGCCCCATCAATTGATTACTGGCTCCGGTTCTCGAGCCTCGGCAGCTGAGCTGAGCTGACTTAACATTTTGCTCCGAGCTCCAAAGCCTCACGCCGACTCAACCACCGAAGTCACGTCCGACCAGCACGGCGCGAACCACCAGACACACACACACACTCACACCCCCCATACAAACAAGATGGCCAATCTCGGCATCCAATCGCCGACCCGGCAGACGGCCGCCTTTCACCTCCCCTCTTCTTCATCCTCCTCTTCAGCCGCTGGCGATGACGACGAAGACCTTCCGCTCCCCTTCCCGGCCGCCCTTCCTCGATCCGATTTCCTTGCCCCGAACTTCCATCCGGCAAGCTACCTGTCCGCACTACCGCATCGTCATCAAACCCTTGACGACCTAAAGGCAGAGCTGCGCGACCGCAGCGCCGCCATCAGTGCCGAGCTGCTCGAGCTCGTCAACGGCAACTACACCGCTTTCCTATCCCTCGGCAATGAGCTCCGCGGCGGCGATGAGAGGGTCGAGAATGTCCGTGTCGCGATGCTGGGTTTCAGGAGGGCTGTCGAGGAGATCAAGGGGAGGGTGCGGACAAGGGGGGAGGAGGTCCAGGGCCTCAGTGGTGAACTGAGGGAGGTACGGCGGGGGATCGAGGTGGGGAGGAAGATGTTGGAGTTGGATGAGAGGGTGGCCGCGCTGGAAGAACGCCTCGCGCTGACGAGCCTACCCGGGAAGGCCGCACAAGACGAAGAGGAAGACGACTGGGACACGGATGGGGGCGACAGGGAGGACGAGGAGGAAGGCGACGCAAGAAGCTTGGTGGGTAGCAGCCCGGCGAAGCTGGCGGGCTTCGCGCAGGAGTTCTGCATCATCGAGGCCCTCGCAGACGCCATCGGACGTGAAGCCCAGTTCGTCGTCAAGACGGAGGCACGCATAACGAGGTGCCGAAACACCATCCTCCTCGATCTGGCAACTGCAATGAGGGAGGCGGGGAAGGCGGGGAACAGTGGACAGGCCAGGGTGGTCAAGTACCTGGGCATCTACGGGCTGCTGGACGCCCAAGCAGAAGCTATCAGGGCTCTCAAGGGCAGTTGATCCAGCTACGGCGGACAGATGGAAAGGAAACCCACCCGGCAAAGAAGCAAAGTAGCGATGCATATGATACCCAATTTTCCGACATGTTCTAAAGCGCTATGCTACTTTCTGATACACGTGTAATAAACACATATGATACATTTGATCCCAACCGCCTATCCTTTTCTTTTTCTTTTTCTCAGTCCTGTCTCCCTCCCTCCTCTCCTCTTATACAAGTTACATGACGGTGGACAGGTGATCCGGCGTAACCTTCTCGTCTGTAGAGTCAAAGTTGCCGTTCAAGCTGATGCCGGGGCCCTGCGAGGTGCTAAGCACAACCTCGTGGACCTCCTTGTGCGTGTCGAGGTCGGCAATGTCGGATTTGATGTTGGCGACAAAGGCCTTGATGTTGGCCGACAGCATCTTGGGGGTGAAACCGAGCTGGCCGATGGCCAGGCGGATGGCGCCCATGCGCTCGCGGTAGTTGTCGGCGCCCATGGTCTCGCGGATGGAGCCGATGACGTTTTCGGTGATAGTCTTCATGCGGCGGTTGGGCATCAGGCCCTTGGGGCCGAGGATGCGGCCCAGCGCGGCCTTATTGAGCGCAGGCTCACTGTCGGCGTGGCAGATGAGTCGGTTGAAGACGATGTTCTCGTTCCGGATGGCCTCGAAGACGGACTCCTCGCCCGCGACCACGGCGCCGGCCTGCAGGGCCTGCTGCGCGATCGGGCTGCCCTCGGGGCAGATGACGCCGACGCGGATGTCAGATTTGACAGGGTTCGGGAGGCGGATGCGGTTCTTGATGACGGCGCCGTTGCGCGGCGTCTTGAGGTGGACGGCAAGCTCGTATTTGATGGCCTGGGGAGGACGGCCGACTTCGTATGCGCGGAGGTAGCTGCCGTAACGAATCAGTAAAGTGTTCAAGGGGAGTGGAGGTTTCCGTATAAAAGCAGAAACAGCCGGGGAAAAAGAAAAAGATCAAACATACCGCATGGCGTCGCAGAGGGAGAACTGGGGGCAGTTCTTGACGTTGTACGTCTTAAAGTCCTTGGGGACCTTTTTCTTCTTCTTTTCCGTCTTCTTGTTGCCCCCTTGGTTGCTCGCATATCGTGTCTGGGCGACGGAGGGAACCAGAAACCGGGGTATCGTGGAGGCCGTCGGCCTTGCTGAGGCGGAGAGACTCAGGCGGGCCATCGAGGCCATGCATTGGGTTGTTGACGCCATCACGGGACCGGGTATACGTGAACTGGAGGGTGCAACACCAAGCTCTAGGCCTCACGGTTTTGTCGCGTGTGAAGCTCTGGCCAAAGACTGCAGAAAAAAGATGGTGGCCTGAGAGGCAAGGCAAGATACGTATCTTATCGATCAAAATGGCTTATCAGAGGACCGGTCCGGTTCCGGTGTGGGCGGTACGTACTCGAGTCCCTCAACATACCACTGTCATTAGAGTACTATATGGATGAAGAGTCATAATTACCTGCCATGTTTGGTTTTTACTATTCAAAGGGGCCTTGAACTAGATTTTGGTATTCTTTAAACTTCTTATTTTTGTAAGCTTTTTTAGAGTCTTGCACGGCGCAAACAACAAGTACCAACCTCCGTCCTCGGTCAAGAAGCTCTAAGCCCGCTGAGCCACCAATCACAGTCACTCCCTCTCGTCCCGGTCGAGTGCTCTCGGTGAGTCCCCCCTCTGAGCGTTACCCCTCCATGAATTTTAACCCCACCACGAAATATCAGCCACTCCGCGCATTTGACTCACGAGACAATAGGACCGCCCTGCTCATCGAATCCTCCCGACCTCTTGATCATCGCAATTGGATCATAATACCGCCATCATGAAGGCCGAGGAGCTCCAAACCCTTCCCGCCGCCCTGGCCGGCGACTTCAAGTCGATCGAGCCGCACCTTCGCGCCCTCGACAAGCACCTGACGCTGCGCACCTTCGTCGAGGGCTACTCGCTGGGCGAGACCGAGGCCAAGATCTGGCAGACACTCAAGCTCAACAAGGTTGCCATGGGCTTCATCCGCAAGGGTACACTGGCCAACCTCACCCGGTGGTATGTCATGGAGCGCCACCTCTCGCCCGCCGGTATCGTGCGAACACTAACCACATGGTCCCAGGTTCACCTTCATCGAGGAAACCCACCCCGAGATCCAAGCCGAGACGAACGCCGCCGATGCTGAGCGCAAGGCCAAGGTCGTCGCCGCCAGCAAGAAGGGCGCCAACTACTCCCTCTCCCTCCAGAACGCCGAGGCAGGCGTCGTCACACGTTTCCTCCCCGAGCCCTCGTGAGTGCCTCCGCGGTTTGTCATACAGCAAATAGCACCCCCGTCTCTAACCGTGTCGCAGAGGATACCTTCACATCGGTCACGCCAAGGCAGCGCTTCTGAGCGACTACTTTGCCCATGAGGCCTACAACGGCAAGCTCCGCCTACGTCTCGATGACACCAACCCCGCCAAGGAGAGCGAGGAGTTCCAGGATGCCATTGTCGAGGACCTCAAGATGATGGGCATCACACCCGACGCCCTCTCCTACACCTCCGACTACTTCGACTACCTCTACGAGACCTGTGTTCGCCTCATCAAGGAGGGCCATGCCTACGCCGACGACACCGAGCAGGAGACGATGCGTAACGAGCGCACTGAAGGTATCGCGTCCAAGTGCAGAGAGCGCAGCGTCGAGGAGAACCTGCGTATCTTTGAGGAGATGAAGAACGGCACCCCCGAGGGCCTGAACAACTGCATCCGTGCCAAGATCTCCGTCGACAACGTCAACAAGGCCCTGAGAGACCCCGTCATCTACCGCTGCAACATTGAGAACAAGCACCACCGCACCGGTGACAAGTGGAAGATCTACCCCATGTACGACCTCGCCTGCCCCGTTGTCGACTCCCACGAGGGCGTCACCCACGCGCTCAGATCCACCGAGTACACCGACCGTAACCCCCTGTACCAGTGGTTCATCGACACCCTGAAGCTGCGCCAGGTCTACATGCACGACTTTAGCCGCATCAACCTCGTTCGCACCTTCCTCTCCAAGAGAAAGCTTGCCAAGATTGTCGAGAAGGGCACCGTCTGGGGCTGGGACGACCCCCGCATGCCCACCATCCGTGGTGTGCGTCGTCGTGGCATGACCATCCCCGCTCTCCGCGAGTTCATCATCAAGCAGGGGCCTAGCCGAAACGTCGTCAACATGGACTGGGCGTCGTTCTGGAACATCAACAAGAAGGTCATCGACCCCATCGCCCCCCGCCACACCGCCATCCTCGAGAAGGACGCCGTCAAGGTCAAGGTCATCGGCGCTGAGGCCCCGGCCGAACCTCGCACCGAGGACAAGCCCAAGCACCCCAAGAACCCCGACGTCGGCACCAAGAAGGTCGTCTTCTCCAACGAGCTCATCCTCGACCAGGCCGACGTAAAGAGCTTCAAGAAGGACGAGGAGTTCACCCTCATGGGCTGGGGCAACGCCTTTGCCCGCGAAATCGGCGCCACGGACCCCATCACCGACCTCACCGTCGAGCTCCACCTCCAGGGCGACTTCAAGACGACGGACAAGAAGGTCACCTGGCTCTCGACGGCCGGTACCAAGCTCGTCAAGGCCGAGCTCTGGGACTTTGACTACCTCATCAACAAGGACAAGCTCGAGGAGGACGACGTGCTCGAGCAGGTCCTCAACCCCAACACCTCCACCATGGAGACGGCGTGGTGCGACGCCGGCGTCGGCGAGCTCAAGAAGGACGACATCATCCAGCTCGAGAGACGGGGCTTCTTCCGCGTCGATAAGGGCCTCGACGAGGACGACGTGGTTGTTCTGTTCAACATCCCCACCGGCAAGGCCAAATAAGCCAAGTCGAGGTTGTCAATTTTGTAGCTAAATAAAAAGACATGAAGATTCGAGGCATAAACTGAGAACGCCGCACGCCCTAGAGCCAGACCTTCTAATCCATCATATGCTCCAGCCTAGAAAATCTCACCCACTGAAATGTAAGCCGTTATCTATATATCTTTCATACCCCAGGGGTGACTCTGCAACAGAATCGATGCGAGGCCAGCATCAGAAGGTCACAGTATGCTGAATGGTCATATTTCGAATCCGGATCAATGCTGTTGACAGAAAAGAGTGAGTACGTCGTCACGATGTTCAGCGGCGTCCAGTCAACTGTTGTTTGAAGATCCAGAGGCGGCAAAGGAATTTCTGCATCGGCTGCCAGAGTCAAGCAACACAGTGGTGGAATGACAGGCGAAACTAGGTGTAGTGGTACACTTTCTCGGTGGTAATCATGGTATTTTGCCTTGACCATATTCTTTGGGATGACACAGACCGTAGAAGGGGCATTGCAAGTGCGGCTAACATGGGAAGGGCGTGGTTTGAAGTGAAATATCCTTTATATTGCACTAAGTATCCATGCTTACCCAAGAACATGATTCCTTTAATATCCAACCTCAGCTGAGGGACTCTTTCGGAAACCCGACTAACAGCGGCAAAATGCTGTTGGGTTCTGTCAAGGTGGGTTGTTGCAGCCGGGCAACACATAACTGGTTGGCTCATTAGACCGTCGTTATCATCGTTCTCGGGTTCCGGTATATCCACTGTTACGGGGAGCCCAATTGCGGGGAGTTCTGGGGCATGCTCTTCTTCACATTGCAGGAAAACTGTACCGATTGTAGATAAGAATCTTCTGCACGGAAACCCAAGCAGGAGTAAAACGCAGTTTCACGATAGCTCCATCGCCAGGACATGAATTTACAAGGAAAAAAAAAATAAGAAGCGAATTCTAATAGCCCTCTCGTGCTGCTCTCTGTCAACCACCAACAAGCCCCTACTGACTTAACAGGCTTCGAAAGACTGGCGCAGCATCTTGTCCTGTCTTCCTCATCCTTCAGCCATCTTCTAAAATTCTGTTGCGCCACCAAGTCGGATAAGCGGAGAGACCATCCGCGGCCCGGATTAAGGAAGACTCCCGTAGGACGAGGCGTCCAACTCAAATTCGACCAATCCATCGGTTCACATTCTGTTCAAATAGGGTCCCATCGCTTCCCCTAGTAAGCTTAGGTCCGGATAGATCGTCATTAGGGTCCCCCCCTCTACTGGTAACCTTATCGGAGCCCAAGTGCCGCGCGCGTAGGAGCTCTTGTATTATCTCTGGGCGCGACAAATGTCGTCAAGCTCTCTCATCTCTTCTTGGATCCGACTGCGCCCCGTTGTCTATCCAAACCTCACTCGCAATGGCCGAACCGCACAACACCCCGTATCCACCCGCAACACCGCAATGTCAAACACCTCGCTCCTCCTCACCGCCGCGTCCTCACCAGGCCATGACAGTCGGAGCCGTAACCCCAGGAGTCGCGGCATCGGCAACCGCAGACGACACGCACGCAAAGCCCAGAGTGCTTCACATCGGCGACCCAATCAAGTACAACCCGCACGCCTACGCCGCCTTCGCGGCGCGGTGCGAGATCATCCGACCCACGACGCCTGAGCGCCAGCGCCCCGCCTTCGCCGCGGCGCTCCGGGACGGCAAGTGGGGTGACTTCTCCGCCGTGTTTCGGCCGTTCTGGGGCACCGGCGGAGAGATGGGCAACTGGGACGCTGAGCTGATTCCGCTGCTGCCCGCGAGCTGTCGGGTATTTGCGAGCGCGGGCGCGGGCTTCGACTGGGCCGACACGCGACTTCTCGGCGAACGGGGTGAGTTCCTCCCGACGGCTTGTGTCGCGAGTTTCGAGTTTGATGTCGACCAGCCAGACTGACAACATTAGGAATCATATACTGCAATTCCGGTCTCGCGGCCGCCGAGGCAGTGGCAGATTTCGCAGTCGCCCTCGTCATATCGACCTTTCGCCACCTCCCATGGTGCATAACCGCCGCCTCCGACCCCGCAGCCTTCCAGGACTGCCACGCTGGCGCCACAGCCGTCTCGCACAGCTTGCGCGGCCACGTTCTTGGCTTAATCGGGATGGGAAACATCGGCCAGCAGATCGCCCAGCGACTCGGCCTTGGATTCCGCATGGACGTGCACTATTTCGACATCGTTCGCAAGGATGCCGCCGTGGAGACTGTATCGGGCGCGACGTTCCACGAGACGCTCGAGTCGCTGCTCGGGGTCTCGGACTGCGTGGTACTGTGCACCCCGGCCGGTGGCAAGATCATCACCGCCGAGTCCCTGACCTGGTTCAAGCCCGGCTCGCGGTTCGTTAACGTTGCGAGGGGGAGCCTCGTGGACGAGGACGCGCTGGCCGACGCACTGGAGTCCGGGCGGATTGGGAGCGCCGCGCTGGATGTGCACGCCGATGAGCCGAGGCCCCATCCGCGGCTGCTGGGGCTGGCCGGAACCAAGGTCATGTTGACTTGCCACAACGCCGGCGGGACGGTCGAGACGCACAAAGGGTTTGAGAAGCTGAGCATGGAGAATATAATGGCCGTGCTGAGCGGTGGCAAGCCCATCACGCCGGTAAACTTACACTATCTAAAACAGTAATGTTTAAGATCTGTTAAACGTTAAAGAAGGCATCAAGAAAAAGGGTAGGCGAATGCACCTCCAGATACCCTCGGACGGCCATGAACTTTCGACAGCAACACGATCCTGCACTGGGCGTACGGGTGGAATCTGGCGACATGGCATCGTGGGGTCTGAGAATAAATCATGAATAGATGGATTTTTATTACCTCGCTCTGGAACCTGCGTCTGCGATTGTGTTCATGTCCAATGGAGACGGACATCTACACTAGAAACCCTCGAGCCTCAAGTTGTACTGTCTCCTATTGCCATCACTGTTCTTCCTCCATCTCTGGTTAGTCGAGAGCGAACCATGACTCGCAGCGCCCGATGGGCCAGTCGCTGCAGCACAGCCGGCTCATTCACTCCCTTCTCGTGCAGAGCAAGTACTGCACTTGGTGCAAAAACCAAAGCTTGTCCCGTATGTAACGAAACAATCATGCTGAATATCTCCATCATCGGGTCCTTGCCTCCGATAGGAACTGGACTCACTGCCTGAATCTCATCCTTTTCGTCCGTCACCGTAACCGACATCGATGAGATTCCCGCCAGGTGCTTGCCAAGAGTGCGTAGCCAGTCGGGAGAGGTGAAACGATGCACCACCGTCACTGAGCAGAGGTCGAGAAGTTTCGTCGAAACTGTTGGTTCTTGCGTTGAGATGAGCACTCGAACGCCCCGATGACGCTGGAGCCGGATCGTTTCGAGGAGTGCGTTTGTCAAGGCCTGGCTGTCCTCAGACTCCTTCATGTACTTGTGTGCTTCGTCGAGTGCAACTACACGGCCGATAGGGGACTGTTGCTCTAGGAAGAGTGACAAACAGATGTTGAAGAGAGAGCAAGCTAGCTCTGCAGTCACGCAAGGGCATGACAGGTCAACGACTGTCAACTGTCCAGACTTCAAATCACATAATTAGCTCAATACAAGAGAGATTGAAGATGGAAAGAGAGGAGATACTTTGGGCTGCCAATCAATGGGTTCATCCGCAAAAGCGGCGGTTTCCTTCACCATGAAGCTCTCTAGGGTGTCAAGACGCTGGTTCAGAGGGTTCAGCTGGCCTGGAGTCAAATCCTCGAGGCTCAGGCACCTCCTGAACTCGGCATAGCTGAAACCGAGGCCGGTTCTTTGTTGCTTCATACGCATATCTCGCAGGATACGGTTGACTACGTGGAGGTAGAGCGGCATAGAGCCGCCTTCCCCAACGGCCATCAGGTCGTTCATGCGACGAGTGTTGAGGTCGTCGTCGCTCAGCTTCAAGGGCTTGATCGTGACATTTGGTATTCCGCTGTAAATTTTCTGTAAAATCATCAGAACCACGTAAGACCTTGTGGAGAAGTTAGATGAGAGATACCCGAATTGTGCGGACATTCGTGGGAGCACAGAGGACTCTGACTGAAGCTTGCTCATGGGACGCTATGAACGCAGCCTCACATGGTAACCCGCCAGAGTCAGAGATGAAGCTGTCGTAATGGAATACGATCCCTGTCAGGGGATGGGGCAGCTGTCCGAGTTGGCTGGGAATGAGGCAGTTCTCAAGGAGGCAGGCTAGTGTGTTGCTTTTCCCTGACCCTTGGCTTCCGCAGATGAAGACACTAGAGGGACATGCGACGTTGTGGAAGAGGCGGGTTGCTGCCAATGAAGTGACACCTCCCGAGATGCTGGCGCCAAAGAGGCCGAATTGTGAGGGAGGTGATCTATCGATGAGGGGCACCGTCAGAAGTGGGCTGGAGAGGACTTCGTCATTGCGCTGCGTTTGCGGTTCCAGGGCTAGGTGCTTCAGCTGCACAACGACATCCGCTTGAGGTTTGGTTTTGGAAAAGACACCATCAGTGTCAGGAGTCGGCTTTTCGACCATCTCGTCAAATCGCAGAGGCGTCGAAATCAAGTCTCCTAGAGGCGAGAAAGTGAACAGCCCAAAAAGTGAAGAAGGTGAGGTAATACCAGTAACCCTAGAGCGTTCTTAAATAAGAGAAAGTTGCTGCGCAGTAGGGATTCGATAGACTCCTATGCTAGGTCATCGGAAGGCACCGGCGGATGTTAGAAGGATTAATGTTCTAGATGTCTTTGGATTCAACTGATGATAAAGGCAACATCCCAGCTCTAAGAAAAACCCATCTTTCAGGCTCGCTGCATCTTTCCTTGTCGCAGACACACGACACCAAAGGTCACAGCAGTGTTCCATAATGTACTAGAACTAAGTTCTGCAGTCATCGGTATCTTCTCTTGTGTTTGATTATTGGGACAACAAAGACACGACGTTAAGCACCATTATCTTATTGGATCCATGACTGCGGTGCCCCTCATTTTCGTTTGCACAAGACGGGAAAGAATGAGACAGCCCTGAGATTTCTTTCTGGCCAAGATTGATAGTGGTGGCATTGAACAGTAAGTTTTCAAGTTTCAAAGAGGCTTCCCCTTGCTCGGTCAACGAAGGAGGGGTGTCTCCTCACCCGCCGGACTCCTGCCCCCTTCACCGTCATCCTCGCTGCCAACGACATCTGACAGCCAGTGCTTGAAATGCTCGCGGATCTGGGCGTCTCTGTAGATCCAGGCGACACAAACACCTGCACCAGGACCCAGCGGGATGGCTGCAAGAACTGCTACTAGCGGAACTTTCCAGCCGGTCTCAACAAAAAGCCAATACAGGACGGTCAAGCTAATGTAGAACATGTTGATCTCAACATACTTGATGGTGGAACGCGTCATCTCCTTCCTGTCGTCCCACTGGAAGAGGCTCCAGATAAAATACACGTGGGAAACAGTGGAGCACAGGATGGGGACGATGTAGACAAGCAGAAGCGAAACTGTGTGAGACTCGAGGTGGAAAGTGCGGTGCTGGCGCTTCTGCAGTCTCAAGACGAACCAGCGGACGGCCTGGCGGATGAGGGATACCCAGACAGGGAAGACGAGCCAGAGGGCAATGGTAACAGGAGAGTTGTAGATCAGCATGAGGACGGACGGCAAGACAAAGCCCCATGCAACGCTGATGGGAATAGCGACAATCTCCGCGTCGACAGCGATATGGCGAGACTTCTTGCCAAAGTCGGGGTCCTTGGAGGGGGCGCTCTTGACGATATCCTGACCGGCCTTGTTCCTGGCGAGCAGGATGGAGCGCGAGCGGTGGAAGAAGGCTGGGATGATGACGAGCTGCCACACAATGGCGCCGCCAATGAGGTTGAAGACCAGCCAGGGGCCAGTTGGGTTGGCGATGAGGACGTTAGGGGCGTTGCAGACGCGGGCGGCCTCGACGGTGGTGACAGTCATGAGGCCGGCGATGAAGGACAGGATGGCGGCCATACTGGCGAAGGTGCGGACGGAGTCGAGGGCTGCTTGAAAGAAGGAGACGGCGAAGCAGGCGGGTGGGCCGAGAACGGGGACCCTACTGATGGCCGGGAGTCGGGCGCGCGAGTGGCATTGCGAGTAGAGGAGGGCGACGTTCACGTCCGAGTGGATGAAGAGGGACGCGAAGGTCGCGACGGCGAGGATGACAGGAATCACGAGAACGGCGCGGTAGGATAAGACGTGGATGGGCGCCGGCCAGCGCTTCGGGGGCGTCATGGTTCTGAGCCTCCCTCGGAACAAATGGTGACGTTGGGGTTTAGGTCGCGTCGCACGAGACCGGTGTTGATGTAGGTGTGCAAGGATCGTGACACTGCTGTGCTGTGGTGGCCATTCGTTTGCCAGCTGAGGAGTGCATGGAACGGCGAAAGGCGGGCCCGCTGCAAATATTATGTCAGCTTGCACTATGGATTTCTTACTTGGCTACCAGAGATACTACCTAAATGTATCTACCAGCCTAGACTTAGCGTGTACATAGCCGTGCATCAAGCATGATTATCGTAAGATTTGGCGACACGTGCGCTATTATCAGTATCAGCTGACCTACTTCCTCTCCCCAATTCGCCTAGTGTGACTAGATGTACGCCATCTAGACAGACTTATGGTTCTGAAGGCTGGCTGGAGATGTGCACGGCTGAATGTAACAACCGTCTCGCTGGCATGTAGTTGAGTCTCTACGAATATTTCTTCCTATGTTGCCAAAAGTTAGGTAATATACACTGGAGTCGAGACGTGCTCATGCATATGATACATATTGACAAAAAAGGATCCCGTTTGTTACTATCCCACTGTAAATCATAACCTGGAGTTATCTTTAAGGTGGCATGTAGGCGTCATGCTTTTATTGGAACAAAGCTGAACGCAGGAAGGTCTCATTTCGTACGCAGCCCGATTTTGTTATTCATTCGCGAATCGCATACTTGTATTGTTATAGACATCCTCTTGCTTCGACTGTATTATTATAGGCCTTTACACCTGAAGAACCAGCGAGAGTTGGAATCGCCAATCTCTTGACTACACTTACAGATATAAAATTATCTCTACGGCTGCGCCCACAGAATAATTGAATTTATCTCATTCGGTACGTATACACAACATGTCTACATACCTCCCACTGCATAGGCAATGCCACATCGATATATCCCGCTTAACCTAGCAGAGCAATTCTCAATATCTACAAATTACCACTACCATAATTACTTCTCCAGCGAAGCTGTGATCGCTGGCAAGACCTCATATTCTGTAAAGTCCCAGATCGTGCTGGAGCTCCCGGAACTCCACGAGTGACCTGTCCAAAATGTGTTTCTTTGACTCTGAAGCGCTGTGTAACGCCTGTAGAACCCGGAACGAATAGCATCCGTGGACACAGTCAGACCAAAGGGCGAGTGGTTGTTGAATGCAATGATTTCCGGCACAATATCGTCAGGCTGGCCTAGCGCACGTCGAGCTTCGTGTACCTGCGCCAGAATTTTCGCTTTGACTGTTTCCTCTGACTGATAATCGGGACTGGTATATTGCGTGGACCAAAGGTCTGAGACGGTCTCAGTCGTGAAGTAGTAGACACCCGGCATAGCGGGGATACCGTACTGGGACTCTGAGTCATAACTATATACCGATGTCCCGGCGGGGAAGCCTGAGCGAGAGATGACGGCGTTGTAGTAATAACTGTTGTTCAGCTGACCGAATACCTGGCTCTCTTCTTCGCTGAGATCGAGGAAGGGCTTGAGGTTATCCAGAGTTGGAGGAATGGTAATGAGTAGTTTAGAAGCGTGAACGGTTTTTGGACCAGAAGGCGTTGTGATCGAGACGGTGACGTAGTCGTCTTGGCGGTCGATACGGCTGATCTCTGCCTCAGTGACAGCGCTATCGCCGAGGAATGCCTGTGCCGCGTTCCAAAGTGACTGGAGATCGTCGTTCGCCTCGTAGACTTTCGAATTCTCCTCACGGGCCCGGACTTGCATCGGGTTGAACAGCTTCATGATGTAAAGAGTGGGCTGGGCAAGAACATTGCCCATGCCTTGAAACCGAAGCCATCCATCGTATGCGAGTGCGCCAAGGTCATACTTTTGGACAAAGTCACCCCAGGGGAGGAGCAGGTCCTCCGGTACAGGGTCAGGCAGATGGTAGCCGCGGAAGAAGTCGTCGGGGTACTTAGCCAACTGTACTTTGTATCGCTCGAGAGCAGCTGCGGTGTCGTTGGCATTGACGATTGGCCAAGAAGGCCCGGGCCGCTCGCGGGCCATGTCTACGGCCACGGATTGCCTCTTTGGTGCGAACGGCGCCAGAGGGACGCCCAGACTGCGGAAATAGTTGTACACCTCTGTAGTGTTGACGAAGTTCTGAGTGCCGTAGTCAAAAGTCTTGCCAGTCTTGGCATCAACATATGTATTCGTATGTCCGCCCAATCGCCCGGCTTTTTCGATGAGGGCCACACTCTTGCCTAGCTGTTGTAGTCTGACAGCAGCGTAGGTTCCGCTAGAACCACCCCCAATAACAACGACGTCGCGTTTGAGAACATCCGGGGCCACTTCATCGTTCGCCGAAGCGGTGTGGAGTAGAAATAACCCCATCACAAGTTTTCCGAGTCGCGTCATGCTGAGATGAAGTGTGATAGGCACTAAGAAAGGAAAGCTGACGGTTGGAATTCAATGCTGAAGAAGCTGACGGTTGGTAGAAAAGAATGCAATTGACCATGTAGCCACGGCTGCCTCTTGTTGATTTTGGACTATAGCGAGCGAACCTCTTAGAGGGGTGGCGTGGGGCTGAAATATACCAGCAAAGCTATGTAATGGTATACGTAGAATACAACGGGTCTAATAAATAGAAAGTGCAGCTTTATCGGTCTTATAGTCGACTAATAGAGACGGTTTTACTTGCGTAAATGATTTGTTTTTAAGTTAGAGTTAATTAGATTAATCGTTTAGCGAGGTATTGACGACATGTGACCAGGTGGATAGTCCGCTGAAAATTTTACCAATAATTCAAATTGTACTCCGTACAGTACCGTGACATGCACAAAGTCTGATGTCAACCACTAATTTCCCCCCTACCCACCTCACTTCAGACTTTCTGCATGCCACTGTAGATGTGGTCGCTCACAAGTAACAATAGCTCTGGCCTAGCGTCAATTGATTAGCTGCGTTTCTAACCCAATGCTCCATGCGGATCTAGGAAAAATGTTTTGCCGTGGATGACTATATAGTTGAGGTAGTGAGTCCGTGCATTCATATAGCTACATAGTATGGACCAGGCTCATTCTCACTCAGTCGAGAAGCACCAGAAGTTGCCCTCGGACTATCAAACGGACCATCCAGAGCATCAATAGTTTTTCTGGTGGTATTGCTTTACCAAATAGTCAACAATCCCCGACTTGGCCCGACAGAGCAAACCATGTGCCTACCGTTAGCCCAGCTGATCCTCCCGCCTTGCTATAAAACATTGGACTAGCTGGACAAATGCTTCCTGGAAGCCCTCTCGTTCAAGACTTCCAGTCTCCACTCCCAGGATTCTGCTCCGGCCCCTGGGAACCTAAACTTGTTATTGTGACCTTTACCATTAAAACAACACTATTGAGACCCAGAACCATCGTGTGCCAGGTTTCTCAAACCTCAACCGATTGCACCACTAGGTATGTGTCGTTTGCGTTTTCCTCTATATTAAGGAAATCCATGAGTGATATATGCTCTCTGAGTGAATCGCTGGCATCAATATTCAAAAAGATATCAGAATAGCCAAAAAGCAACTCCTACCATGGGTTATTATATCGTCCTATATACACTTTACACAAACATCCTGGAAGTATCGAACACTCTTCATCCGTAGTACAATAAAGCTTGAACTGATTTTCCAGTGCTCACTTTAGGGCCTTGAATCTGGTGGGTCATCATGCCGATTGCCAACTTGTAATATGGCAGTCTATGCATGCAGTATTTCGTAATTGCTCGAAGACAGCTACAGTATGGTTTAAAATGGAACCTTCGATACCTTGGCCGCATGCCCGCCCAGAACCTGAGACTTCTTGTCACCTACCACATTCGAGCAAAGCCAAGGCTGCCAAGACCGGTCGTCGATGCCCTCGTCCTCCACGGTCCAGAAATCCAAACTATCTTTGCCTATCCCGGAAAACCAGCCAAGATGTGGAGTTTCATCCCTCCCTCCCGCGAGTTGTCACAAGTTCCGCAGTACCTATTCAAGTCTTCCGCCTTCACAATCCTCCAGCAGAAGTGTGACATTCACGGCCGCTGGCTGTAAACATGGAAACCTGTGTTCATTTCCCAGCCAAATCGCCGTTGATCGCGGCATGAATGATTGGTCTGTTGCTTGATCTCTTCCCTGCCAAGCCAGGAAGCTGTTGGCTTATGCATCTTTCTATGTCACCCTCTGTGCAACGCTGTCTTGTCTCAACCAACCACAATGAAGTTTCCGCATGCTGAGATAACCCAACCTCCTCTGCTCACCGTTATCTCTGGGCGCTGGCTCGCTTCGCAGTCGCCAAGGAAGAAATGCAACCATCACCGCACGAGCAGCGCCTTGAGCTGTGCCATTGCGCGCCTATCATCGACTGGCAATCGCAGACAGCCTCTGCAGCGCTGATAGAATACGCCCGCGGAAAGCTACAAAAGTGGCCAACCGGCCCCTCCAGCTCTCGTGATGGCTGTCCCCCAAGCTCTGCCCAGCGGCTGCGACTTGCTCTCAAGCCTTTTCTTCTCCCCTTCCGTTCCTCTTGGACAAGCTCAAGCCGAGAAACGACAAGAACTCACAGACCACAAAAGGTCACGATATGTCAACGGCCCCGAACCTCGACGTGACGGAAGCCGCGCGGGCAGACTACCCGGCTATTGAGAAGGGCGTCGACGCCGCGAGGAAGCCGGATGCGTACACGGGGGACCTTGCCGACGGACGGCTATCCCATGACACCCTCGGAGGGCTCAACGGCGAGGTCTACCCGACCGAGGAGGAGCTTCTCACGCTGCGCCGCATTCACGGCAAGGTGGACTGGCTGATTTACAGCATCGGCTTTGTCGAAATGTGCGAGCGCTTCGCGTACTACGGCACAACGGCCGTGTGTAAGTGGCGGATGGCCCTCTTACGACATCCTGCGGAAGCACCAGACTACCTACTGACTCCCCGCCTTCTGACAAAGTTGTCAATTTTATCGCATATCCCCTCCCGCCAGGCTCGACGACCGGCGCCGGAGGCACGGATGAGCAAGCTGGCGCCTTGGGTCTCGGCCAGCGAGCCTCGACCGCCCTGACCCTCTTCAACTCCTTCTGGTCCTACGTGATGCCCCTCGTCGGTAAGCGCCTCACCACCACTACTCCCAGGGTCCTCAACACCAAGTCGGAACTCTCATCTGACTCCTGTCCCAGGCGGCTACATCGCTGACACGTACTGGGGACGTTACCTCACGATTCAGTGGGCCATTGCCATCGCCACTTTCGGCCACATCCTCATCATCATCGCCGCCGTTCCCTCCGTCATCGCCAACCCGAGCGGCTCGCTGGCGGCCTTCATCGTCGGCCTCGTCTTTTTCGGAACCGGCGTTGGTTTTTTTAAAGCTAATATCTCGCCCCTCATCGCCGAGCAGTATGAGCTGACGCAGCCCCGACAAACGGTCGAGACGCTCCCCAAGACAGGCGAGCGCGTCATCGTCGACCCCGTCATGACCATCTCGCGCGTCTACATGCGCTACTACTTCCTCATCAATGTCGGTGCCCTCGTGGGCCAGATGTCCATGGTCTACGCGGAAAAATACGTCGGCTTCTGGCTCTCATACCTCCTCCCGACCATCATGTTCTTCTTCTGCCCTGTGGTCATGTTCGCCTGCCGCAACCGCTACGCCAAACGCCCGCCCACTGGTTCAGTCCTTGGCAAGTCCATCGCCCTCATCGGCTACGGTCTTCGGCAGGGCGGCGGTGGCGGCATCACCGGGATGCGCAAGGACGCATTCTGGGAGCGCATCAAGCCCTCGCGGGTCGCCGACAAGCCGGCGTGGATGACGTTTGACGACGCCTGGGTCGACGAGGTCCGCCGCGGCGTCATGGCCTGTGCCGTCTTCCTCTGGTTCCCCATCTTCTGGCTCGCGTACGGCCAGATGACCAACAACCTCATCAACCAGGCGGCGACGATGCGGCTCGATGGCATCCCCAACGACATCATCACCAACCTGAATCCCTTTGCGCTGCTCATCTTCATTCCAATCTGCGACAAGTTCATCTACCCGGCCGTCGAGCGCGCGGGGCTCCGCTTCACCCCGCTCAAGAAGATCACGCTCGGCTTCTTCTGCGCCACGCTGTCCATGATGGTTGCCGCCATCATCCAGCACTTCATCTACCAGCAGGCGCCGTGCGGGTACAGCGCCGGCGACACGGACTGCATCCGCGAGAACGGCCCGCCCGAGATGACCGTGTGGATCCAGACGCCGTGCTACATCCTCATCGCGCTGAGCGAGATCTTCGCGTCCATCACGGGGCTGGAGTACGCCTTCACCAAGGCGCCCAAGAACATGCGCGGGCTCGTCACCGGCGTCTTCCTCTTCGTCCACGCCTTCTCGAGCGCCATCGGCCAGGCGTTTGTGAGTCTGGCGGCCGACCCGCTGCTCGTGTGGCTGTACACCTGCATCGCCATCATCAGCTGCCTGGGTGGCATCGGCTTCTGGATCATGTTCCGCAAGCTTGACGAGGAGGAAGACGCCCTGAATGCGCTGCCGGAGAGCACATACAAGGGACGAGGGGAGTTGGAACCTGAAAGCAAGGCAGTCTAAGTGTCTTAAGGCTGAAGCCAAAGTGGCAGCGAGGCACATGGTGATTGTGTATATAACAGTTCATAGTCAACGTGTCATAGAGAAGTGTGGTTTGGCTCAATCATCCCGAGCACAAGGCTCTTCTGATGCTACTGGGCTGAAAATATGCGTTGGATCAATGACAATCGTCAAGCGGCTACACCCACCCACTGGAGAAACACTCCCAGCAAAGCCTTGATCCGGGTTGACACAGATGATCCTTAGTCATAGATAACACAGGTTGAAGTACGGCAAATTAAGAAGAAAAAGAAATTCAATTAAAAGATCTGCGCGACCTGATCAATTTGGGTTGCACTGCGACTTGTTACACCCACTTCGGGTAGGCCGTCCGCAGCCTTCACCCATCCTTCGTAAACCCTCGCTTGGGAAATCAAACCCAACCCATCCGTTGTTTACCCTGGTATTCCTAATCCAACGCCTTGCTGCTGCCCCGGCTCCTCGGCCGGCTTGATATTGCCATAGTTTACAAATTTCATGCGTTACGTCTTCTTGCGGACCAACCCAGCGCCAAGCACGTTGACCTTCGGGGGTTCTCCGTCGTTCGCCTTGGTGGCGTCGACACTCGTGGTCCCTTCTTTGGACTTCCTTCGGATGAGCCCCGTACTCAGGACATTAACCTTGCTCGCCGGCTCACCCGATCCAGCAGTAGGCGACTCCTCTGGGCGTTTGCGCTTGACCAGACCTGATAGATTATTCACGGTCCCAGCTGACGGCTGGCTTAATGAAGGGACCGGGGTCTCCCGTGTGCCTACGACCTCTAAGCCCCATGAGTCTCCAATGCCGACTTCGCTGATCCATCGCCTGGTGCTGCTGGTTGCAATATCAAGGTTTGCAAAGTCCAAGTGCAGCAGAAGCTCATTGACCCGCTTGTAATCGTTCTCGTCGACAATCTTGCGACCTCTGCCTTCTGCCGGCCAATAGTAGTAAGCGGTGGAAATGGGCTTATCTAGTAGATAGTTGCGCTGTTGGGTCTTGATGCGCGGTTGCCGAGGCTTGATGACACCCGATAGTTTCGCCTTCTTCTTCTTCTTGTTCTTCCGCTCTGGCTTTTCCAGCTTCGCCTTCGATAATGTACCAGGCGATGTTTGAGGGAACAGCTTGCGTGGCGTAGACATGGGTGTCGTCGGCCGGGCAGGTTTCTGTTTGTTCGGAGTCACTGGCGGGTTTGAAGCACTAAATGAAGGGTTCGGTGTCGGCAAGGCCGTCGAGTCATTGTCCTGGCGGACCTTTTCCACCTCCGGGTCAAAGACGACCCATATGAAGCCGGTCAGACGCCCACTGGAACACTCCTGTCTGTACGCCATCATCTCCCAGAAGGTCTCCAAGCTCTTGACGCTCTTCCATTGGCCAGTGGTCTTGAGCTGCTTTGACTTTCCAGTCTCCTCGTCCAATTCGTCTCGGAACCGCGACTTGGGGTCGTCCGGAAAGCGGGGAATAAGGCATCGCGCGGGTACCCAGTCGTACTCCTTGGTATAATGCGAAATCTTCTCGAGGGCGTGTCCCAGCACCCAATTGGCGGCGCTGCTGGGGGTCTTTGGCAGAAAGGCCTTCGTCTCGTAGCTGTCGAGCCCGGGGATCACGAGGTATCCTTTGACGCCACCCCACGGTGCACCCTTGCCCACGGGGGTCTTCTCCAGGAGGGGGTCCAGAACCTTGCACCACCATTTGACGAGTCCTCTGTCGTCGAGGACATGTTTGCCGCTGTACTCGGCGCTGCCGGGAAAGAGGTATTGATCCTGAGCGCGGGCGAAGAGGCTGACGACGGATTGGATGCCCTTGCGACTGCGCTGCTCGACGAGGTAGGAGACGAAGACACTGCTGATTTTTTTGATGGGCGAAGGGGTGCCCTTGGGCAGGTTGAGCAGCTTCAGGTAGCCGGTCGAATCGGCTTTTGAGACAAAAAAGGTGCTGGAGTGTGCCGTAGTGTAGATGAAGACCTCCAAGGCGAGGACGAGGACCGACTTCGAGGCGTTGTCTTTCGCCGGTTTGTCGGTCTGGGCGGTGCTGGCGGGTACATCGATGGAGATGGCGAGGAAATGCCTCTCGCAGTACGTCTTGTCTTCGCGTTCCTCTGGCGGCGCCGAGTAGAGAGCGTCGGTCTTGGTGGGCGGAGTCGAGAGGTGGTAGACGCCGAAGCGGTAGCCCCTGGGCAGGACGGCCGACAGCTTGTCCAGAAGAAGGGCGCTGCTCTGAGCCGTGGTCTTCACCCTGCTAGGAGTCGCCATGATGTGATTGATTGCGAGAATGCTTGGGGAATATGGACTCCCAGGGCAAAGGTCATGTCATGGCTGTGGGATCGTGCATCGGCATCAGCAGCGACAGCAGTGGCGGATCTGATCTGCAGGGTCCAAAAGAAGCCGACGCGTCGCAGTAGGCGATGGGCGCTGGTCTTTCAGCAGCGTGTCGCCGTTTTAGTGGAGAAAACGCGATATGGATCCCTCTTCAGTTTAAGGGAAGCCGCGACTTGTCTGGGGCCTGGCGTTGGGTCCTCCCGGAAGCTACGAGCTGGAGCTAGTACCGTTCTGGTGCTAGCGCCGGTCCTCGCATGATCCTCCCTCCGCCCGCGCGCGCTTCCACGTGACCTCGAGAAATTGTTCCGTGCAGCGATCGCGAAAAAGTTCCAGCTCAAGCAATCAGGAAGCTCTAGCTACGACGAGAGTACGTACGCCCTTATTGATTCCCACCCTCTTCCAACGCAACGCCGTCCCCCTGTTGCCAGCAACAGACAAAGATGGCAACCAACGGCTCCCGGTCAGCTTACGGCCTTACGAGGCATGCCGTCCGGCATTGCCAGTCGGCGGCAACCCCCCGAGTCGCTTCTTCCATCCAGTACATCTCCAGAACGTTTGCGACGACCAGTTCCCGGACGGCTGCCGAGAGTAAGATTGACCAACTGTCGAGGAAAACCGAGGAGGCGGAAAGACCCGACGAAGTCTCGCAGCGCCCGCGATGGTCCTACACCCCCGAGGGCATGAAGGCCCCCTTCTCTCCTCACATCACCAAGAACCCGGCGCGCAGCGTCTGGTCTGTCAACACGGACCCCAGGAAGCTGGACCAAATGTACGTGAGGTTTCTGGGTCGCGACGGAGACAAGATGTTGCCGGACGAGGTCAAGTGGTTGGCCGTTACGCACAAGAGTTTCGACCAGGGCCGCCGGGGTTTCAACGACAAGCTGGCATACTTGGGTAAGGCCCTCCCGCCCGCTTTCGGGACCGACTTGCGACTTGGCGTCTGCGTCGCCCGCCCCAAAGCTACTTCCTGCTAACTGGGAGGGGTTTTCCATGTGCTACAGGTCGACAAGCAGTTGTTCTCGAGTCCACGCGAAGCATAGTAACGTCGTCGCTGGCAAAAGACGGGGCCATCGTCCCTGACGAGCACGGTCGCGTACCGTTCGAGCACCATGCTCTTGCAAGCCTCGACAATCTCAACGTTGAGCTGCCGCAGAAGGTCGTCACCAAGGAAAAGATTGAGGAGCTGGCGATGGCCGCTGGTATCGATAAGGTTTTGCGGTGGAAACCGGCAAAGGTAAGCCTAACTCTTACTCACCCACCCCTTCCTCATCGCGGAAGGAACGAGAATAGCCCGCCCTGGCTAACGCATACGACAGCCGGAAAACCTTGCTGGGTCTGGCCAGCAGATTGTGCTTAACTCGGCCGTGTTCGCCATTGTGGGAGCTATCACTCTCCAGCACGGAGCCGAGGTGGCAGGCAGAGTCATCAGGGAGAGAATATTGAGACCGCTCTCGCTCAGGCAATGACGCCAACGGACATGACACACAAAGAGAGAGACGTCTGTTGTATCATAGGTGTAAAACATTTGACAGGAAGGGCAATCATCCCAACAGGAACGCCTAAACAGCCCAAAGCTTTTTTTGCCCAATACTGCTGCGTGACGCCGTGCTGCCACCGGGTTGCTGACGTCACCTTGTAGCAGACGGCCCAAACAGATATATACCTGTAGAAAGCATGCCCCAAAGTGACGAGATAAAACAACGTTTGCTAGGCGCGTGCCATTCACTCTGGCGGCCGGCGCAGCAGGCCGGTGGTCAGGTGCATCACATGGGAGATGCTGCGGTCCGGGGGCTGCCAGGCCAGCCTGATGACCCATCCGTCGGTGGTCGAGCAGAGGTCACGGATAAGGGACTTGTCGATGCGGGTCGTCATCTCGACCGTGACGAGGTTGTTCACGACGGCGTCGTCGACGCCCTTGCCGAGGATCAGCGCCTTGCGGATCATGCTGTTGTTGGGCGTGCGCACGACCAGGCGCGAGGCGCGCGTCCAGTCGACGACGTGCAGGCCAAAGTCGAGCATGCCAGCGCGGCCAACCTCGCCCGTCACGGCGTGCACGTAGCCCTCACCAAGCGGGCGGGTCATGTCCGAGGTGGAGCGGGTACAGAGGAAGAAGCTTTTGAGCACGGCAAATGATTCATTCAGGGTGGCCATGCCACAGCCGGGGTCCGGGTCAACGTGCCAGATGCTCTTTGGCCAGTCGTTGGAGCCGTAGTGGGCGACGCCCTCGCCCAAGGGGTCGTAGGCAAGCAGGTCGCTGGCAAGGATGGGCATGGTTAGGGATCGGGAGGCGCCTTGGTACAGCACAAGGTCCCAATCGGGATTAATGTAGATCCGGGCCCAGGCCGGGTTTCGCTGGCTCCGTTGCGGATAGCCGTGGGCGTCAGGCTCGGGCGAGGCCATGGGCAGATGGATCCTGAAGAAAGACAGAGCCTCGCGACGGGCCTCAAGGCACACTCGGAAAATGGCCGGGCTCCTATTCTCGCAATACCAGTGGGCGTTGCAGGCAACGTTGCCAAGCTCGTTGCCAGAAGACTCAACGCCCGAGGTGTCCATGACACCCCTGATGACGACGACGCGGGGCCGCTCCAGATAGATGCGCCAGATCTTGGAGCGCAGCTCGTAGGGCAGGTCTGGGAAGCGGACAAAGACGTCGCCTCGACCAGACTCCGGCGGTGGCGACGACGGCGGCAGTGGTGGTGTCAATGCCGTCGTCTTCGGGGGGTCGCTTGCGGGCGCGGCAACCCAAGTGCGCAAGTCGAAACCTTCGCAGGCTTCTAGGAGCCTCCAGTGATTTCTGGGCGGTTGCTGTTCCCGTGCAGCGGAGCGGACATGGGGGTCGGTAGTCCGGAACCACCCTCCATGAGGGTGGCTGGCCTCCACCATTTTGGTATCATATTCGTCTTGCGTTTGCGAACAAGAGGGTGGTTGGGCTGACGTAGAGGACCAGTCTATCGGCTGAAGGGGCAGCAGAGAAGGAAACAGACTCGGTGAGCGGCTAGCTTCATCGGACTCGTAAGCCGAGTCCATTACGAGGGTACCTTAGGTTTTTGGCAAGTTCAGGGATTGGGCGAGCGAAGAACTTGGACGAGACAGTACAGGGGACTCTGGTTGGACGACGAGACGACTGAAGACGTTAGACAAGGAAGGGTTCAATGGTGCCGAGCAGATGGGTGATTAATCCTCTGTGCGCGAAGGGCGGGAGCATATGGGCGACGCCGAGATGCGTGCGTAATATGATGTAATGAGATGCCTCCTGGGTAAGGCGTGTAATAGTAACGCTGTGTGTGAGAGAGATAGAGAGTGAGTGAGTGAGTGGGTGTGTGTGTGTGTGTGTTGTGACTTGTGAAGCTAGTGTGGGGTGATGAGGCAGAGGTTGTAGCGGGGAACAAGGCACGATGTGTTTGAGGATCGGGCGACACTCCACGAACCAAACGTGCCATGTGCTTTGGATTCAAAATACGAATCCGAGCACGATGGTGTAGGTTGTAGGGCGTTCGTTCCCATGAATGAGTCGTGCGCTGGGCCAACGAGGATGATGGAGGTTGAGCCTGGGGAGAGCGAAATGCACCGCGCTTTGGGACGACGTTTTACGTGGATCCAATCGTGATGCTGCTGCTACCAGCCGGCCGTGCTGCCCACTGATGCGGCTTATCTTCGAGTCGGTGATTACTAAGACGACGTACCAGGGTACAATGAAATGAAGGGATCCTTGCCGGTGTGACTACGTACCTATAGCCCCGTATATATATGAAATTCCGCCCCACCCACACTGTTACCACGCCGGACTAAAACAGCAGTACTGACCGATCCGTATTCGGCTCCACCATATGATATGATACAACACAGAAGAAACAACGAGACCCTTTCACAGGGCGTTGCCTCTTGAGGAAAAGCCTTGCCTCTTGAGGAAAAGCCTTGCGAGAGACCGGAACGTATTGCACCGGTAGTAGGTATATATATGCGTTCACCTATAATCACCTGTCTCGTATGAGGCGCCCGCGCGACTTTGTGACAGGGACAGCACCCAGGAGTGAAGTGACCGATGCCACATGGTGTTTGGCAACCGAAAGAGACAGAGAGAGATAGGTAGAAGATGCGTGCGTGCGTGTGTGTGTGTGTGTGTGTGTGTGTGTGTGTGTGTGTGTGTGTGTGTAACTGTGAAAGAGAGAGGGTAGCGCACCAGCATCCCTGTCAGATCGTGTCAAATACACGTCAACCCATAATAGACTCGGCACATACTTTTTGAACCAGATAGCTTAAACTGCGCACTCGCACTTAGTACATACCTAGACCGCATCGTAATTATACGAACAAGGTCAATTACGTTCTTGTACTCGCTTGTGTAGTCCATCGCCAACGCCATCGCCCGCTGATGTGTGGCATGGAACCCCTGTCCTGGTTGTTCCCGTTGCATTCTTGGCTTTAACTAGGTAGTATGATTTGCATGCGTATCTGTAGTAGGTAGGTAGTTTAGGATTCATCTGCAGAGTGGCATTGCTTACCTACCCTGAACCGGTCACCAGCTGTCCCCGGCATTCCAATAAACAGCCTTAATCATTGCCTCAGCAGCCAAGAACGGCACGCAACCGTGCGAGGTTTGCAAAGGGGACCGGGCTGTGGGCCAATCACCGAGCCGTCTCTGCAACGTCACCTCGCCGTCTGAAACTCGCACAACCCAAGCCTCGACGACTGACAACCTGCACTCTAGACGCCTTCCATGGATCGATGGCTCGATAGCTCGATGAACGGAACTGGGCGGAGTCCCGGGGAAGGGGGGGGGAGGGTCCCCGGCCTTTTCTTGCCCACGGCTCACGGCTCACGGCTCACCCTTTCTATATAGCATCGCGATGCATAAATTACCCTATTAGGCTTACACGCCGTACACCGAAATTCGAACACGACTTACTCGCACCGCGACAGAGACCAGCTAAACTCCTGTTCAAACTTCATGCCATCTTTGCTGCTCATCTTGACGCGGCCCTGTGCCCTCAATCTACCACCTACCACGCAAGCAATCCTGCCATGCCATTGGCAAGGAAACAAAGTCTCAGCGCCAAACTCATGTAAACGAATCTGGCTTCTGCTGTCGGTGACGGAGTACCGGTATGCCACGCTACCCTAGCATACACAATCCGCCCGCCCGTCGCTTTATGACACCCGCTTGATCTTATCCGAAGGGGCGGCTGGCGTCGTAGAAACCGGGTTCTTCTTCCCAACTCGGTGAATCGGACCCCCCTCCCCCGGCAGATCCTGTCTGGGATTTTCGCAAGGGACTTCCCTCTCTCACCCAGCCTTGAATCCCAGTCAGTCCATCCGGAGTGGAACCGACTTGGATCTATGCCAGCTGCCAGATGGAGCGGGATTCCGCCGCGCGTGGCCGCATGTCTACTGACGGCTAAGACCGCCCACTCCATGTTTAGGCTCGTGATTGTCAGGTTGTAAGGGCCTTGCTATAGATATGTCCCCGTTCGTCTCTCCATGTTTCCTTGGATCTGTTTTGTTTCCCTCCACCATTTGGCGATTCAAGCACCCAGCCCACATTAGGAGGAACATAATATCGCCCTTCTCCTTCGTCTTTCACGACTGCCGGGCAGCCTTGACTTTAACGTTTCCTTCTTCTATTTCTTCTTCTTTTCTTCTTATTTTCTTCTTCTTCTTCTTCTTCATCATCATAGATCCCCACGTTATTTCGACCCATCTAATGTCATTGTCAACACTGTGAAATTTGTCCAATACCCTATTCCTCCTAACTACATCATGGAGATGAACAACATGTACAACAAAATATCGCCACAAGAAGAGGACCCCACGCAGCCGTTACAGACACCACCGCCAGCTCCTCCACAGAGGCAGAGCGCTTGGATGAACTTCTGCGTAGGGTTCTTGATGGTATTTTCCATCTTCAGCGTCGGCAGGGAAATCAAGCATCAATTTGGTCTCAGGTCCAGCTTGAGTAACCAGGTAGCAGTGAATCGGGATTTTGGATCATGGGACCAGGCTCTCGACTCCATCGTCACACCCGAGACTGTCGAGGCTATCGGAAATGATGCCAGGCTGAAGCGGACCATCATGTCCATGGTCGAGTTCACTGTTGATCTCTCCGACCAGCTGGCTGCTCGCTACGAATCACCCGGGCTCGAGGAGACGAAGGAGGCATTGCAGGAGTACAAGAACATAATCAAGAGAAGCCTTGGGGACCTGGAGGACGACGATGCTAAGAGCGGCAGCGAAACGGAGCCTGAGAAGCGCCAGCTCCCGGGCCTGGGCGACCTCTTTGGTGGTATAGGTGGCGGAGGTGGCGGGGCTAGCGGTGGAGGAAACATGTCTGCCGGCATCCTCAGCGGCCTTCTCCAGCCCCTGACCGACGGCCTAAAGAACATCGGAAGTCAGCTGGTCCGCAATCTCGACGGACCGGGCATGTTCCTGGGCATCGGAATCGGCGCCGGCGCCGCTCAAGGGCTGAACCTGTCGACGCAGGACAAGACCATGCAGGTGGCTGCCAAGGTGGCGGCAGACAACAAGATGGAGGCGACCGGCCTGAACCCCGCGATCCAGAACCTGGGTGTCGGTCTCACAGCGACCATCCTGGGCTCTGTAAACCTGTCCGACCTGTCTGGCGTAGGAGGGAACTTGACACAACAGCTCCAGCCCATCGCCCTCGCACTCGCAACGGGCATCGGCAACGGCACGGTGGCCGGCCTCAAACTCAACCCCAACGCCGCGAATCTCGAGCCCGTCAACGACTCTAGCATTGCCAACGTCGTCGGAACCTTTGGTTTTGGGCTGACCAAGACGCTGACCTCCAACATTGACACGTCCAACCTCCTGAACCAGGCCGGCGGCTCCGACCTCACGCGCCGGCTCGTGCAGATCCTCCCTGACGCCGCCTCGGGTCTCGGCAATGGTTTGGGCGAGGGAGCGACGGTCGGTCTCGGCCTGCAGCCCGACGTAGCGGTGGTCATGAGGCAGATGCCGGATGGATCCATCGACTTCGGCGGCGTCACGCAGACCTTCGCCAAAGCCCTGACGAACAGCCTGCTGCGGAACGGCACCGCCGACGAGCTTCTCAAAAAGTTCAACCTGAGCGGCAGCGACACAACGCGCCGCATCATGGATATCCTTCCTGCCGCCGCCTCAGGTCTCGGCAAGGGCCTGGGCGAGGGAGCGACGGTCGGTCTCGGCCTGCAGCCCGACGTAGCGGTGGTCATGAGGCAGATGCCGGATGGATCCATCGACTTCGGCGGCGTCACGCACACCTTCGCCAAAGCCCTGACGAGCAGCTTCCTGCAGAACGGCACCGCGAACGAGCTCGTCAGCAAGATCGGCGGCGCAGCCAAGTCGGCCGTGAACGGCGGTGGGATCCCAAAGACCATCGACATCAACGGCCAGACGGTCGAGATCGGCAAGGCTGCCCAGGGCTTCGCCCGCGGCTTCCTCCAAGCCGCCGGCGACTCCATCCAGAGCATGGGTGGCGTGCAGTCCATCTTCGAGGGCAACGCCACGATCCCCACGGGCCCGCCGCCGGACCCCAAGATCGACTTCGACGACACCATCGGCGGCGCCGCCACCGGATTCGGTTCCGGGATCGGCGGGCAGGGTGTCGTCGTTGTCTACGGCCTGATCAAGAACCCGCACGGCACGAACACGACCGCCGCAAGCGCCGCCCCGGCACTCCCGGCCACGAGCGCGCCCGCCGCCCGCCGGGACTTGGAGCTTGTCGCCCGCGAGGACCCCCCGCCCATCGTCTCCGTCGATACGAGCAACGGGTTCAACCTCTCCGTCGTCATCAATGCCCAGACGGTCTCCGCGGCCGCCCAGGCCGGCGTCAACGCCCTCTCCTGCCAGGGTATCGGCGGCCTGGGGCTCATCGGCCTCGGCCTGATCCGTAGCAATACCATCGCCCTCGACATGTTCAGCGGTGGCGGCGGCGGCGTCAACAGCAACATCACAAAGGTCATCAAGCAAGTCATCCCCACCGGCACCATCAAGATCGCCAACGAGGGCCACTTTTACGCCATCGACGGCGG